GCTTGACCCTGGGCTGTAGCTCTAGCAGGAGACCACCATGTGTGTGAAGAGCTTTGAGTCAGGAGGGAAGCTGCCCTGTGGTGTCTGCCAGGCGAAGCTTCTGTAGTTGTGCATGGTGGCACCTGAGAGAGCAGAAGCCAGACTCCGCCCAAGGTTCAGAGCCTCGTGGCTTCCTTCGTAAGACTCAAAGGTAGAGAACCCAAGTCTGCTGAGCATCTTCCATGTGCCAGTGTTGCCCTGCGCCCTGGGGTGCTACCTGGGTTGGCTCAGCACAGAACTGAGTGGGAAAACCTGCCAGGACAGTTGCTATATTAAAGTCGTATTATATTACCAGTCTGGCTCCAGTAAACATTATCATTTTCAGACCCTCTCTTTGTGTAGTGCAATCCCACATGAACCTGGGCAACGGCACCTTGACCTCACACTGCTGTTGCCACAGACTTTGCTCCTGGAGCTTGTCCCCATGCCGTATGGCACCCCATAGTCTTGGGTTGCTAAATTCTCCTTGACATTCATTCCTGTTACATTTCCACGTGTGGTCCTTAGGAAGGCAGCCTGCTGGGAAAACGCCCCCCTGAACTGGAAAGAATCTGTGTCCGGGGCTGATCCCCACACGACTCAACTCAGTTGAAAATGTCTTTCCCACACAGAGGCCCTAAAGTTTTTTAAGAATCAGCTGTCCCCTTATGAACAAAGTGAAATCCTGGGCTACTCGGAGCTGTGGTTCCTGGGGCTTGAAGCCAAGAAGCTGAAGGTGGCTCCTGATAAGTTCAGCAAGACTGGCTTTGATGACGAGCATGGCTCCTACATGAAGGTGAAGGTGCTGGGTTAGGAGAGCTTCATCAGGACTGGGGGGGGGCATTGTGTGAAGAGAAAAACAGAGGGGGGTATCTTACAGTACTGTGTACTGGTGTACTGGGGGTAGGTTTCTCAAAGGATTCTAGTGGGTCCTAAAATGCTATACTTAAAAAAAAAAAAACAGAAAATCTGTGATTTATTGTACCAAACCCTCTGTTATCAGAATGCCAGTGCCCTCTGTGAATGCTGGGGCAGAGATTTATTTGATGGGTGAACTACCAGGGGCTCCTCCGAGTAATCCTGGTCCAGTGAGAAAGGAGTAAGAGACATCACCTTCATGCCTTCTTTTTCATTTTCTTTCACATAAACCCCACTGGTGGGCTTCCCCCCCCCCCCTATTTTATACTATGAGTCATTTTCTCACCAGGAAGGGAAAAACATCGCTTTTGTTATTTTTGTCTCTGAGGCACAGTACTTAACTTCATTCTGTTTTTGAATTTTGATCCCAGCAGCTCCTCTCCCACCCGTCTTATCCCTCTGGGGTCCTGGGCGATGCCTTCTCCCAGCCTGAAGGTGGAATCAGGGCAGAGATCCCTGCTTCTGATAATGTGTGAAGGTGGCGCTTCACCCGCCAGACTGCGGTTGTCGAGTGTCCCCTTTGGGCATCTCATTGTAACTTGGTGTTAGAAGACATTTCTTTGATGGTTTTTTAAAAGCAGTAGGTTTTCTTAATGGCATGTAAGCCCTGTTTCTCAAGCTACTGTGCATACAAGTCAACTAGGGGTCTTGTTAAAATACAGATTTGTATCCGGCAAGATGTGATTATCTCTTATGATTTCACATTTACAGAAAGCATTTTGGCGATACCCAATCCACCAGCCAGACCACACCTCGAGAAGCAAGCATGTCAATTCTAGTACACAGACTCCATGAGAGGCTAGGTTCTCACACAAGAGGCCAGGTTCTCTACAGTTTTGAGTCAAAGATCCTTTAGAAGTCTTCTATAAACTATGGATCCTCACCTCTCTCCCACAAAAGCAATCTTCACATACATGAAGTTTCAGGCAACTCATAGGGTCATTGGTTACAAATCATCAATTTAAGTTTTTCCTAGACGTCGTCACCCATTTCTTCCTAGATCCTCCCATCTCCCTATTACCCAGAACCTTAAGTGATCTTAGAGAGCGTTCTTTTTATTTGGTGGTGGGGTGGGGTGAGTGTGCTTGTGAGCGTGTGTTCTCTATAGGCTTCTATCAGCATCTTTATTTCATTGTACACACAAACACATCATGCATACACAACCAAATACCCAAATAAACTACACACTACCATCTTACATTTATTCTACCAACATATGCTCCCTATATACCTACTTACTGCACCCCTGTCACAAGCCTGGGCATCTTCTAGACTCTGCAGATATAAAGAGAGCCATCTAGCACACACAAATATACTATGGTTATTCAGGTAACTACAATTAATGTCAAAGTGGGCATGTAAGCAAGCATGACATAATCAAGCAAGTGCCATGAAGATGATTAAAGCAATGCCAGGCAAACACATATGCACTTTTACATGAGCATGTCTGCTGATCTGGTCTGTCCTGTTTCATCACAAGCTTTTACCAGGGGATGAGAGCTCTTTTTCCATGTTGATAAAACTGCACAATCTATATGAACAGAATCAACACATACATGTTCACAAGTATATCATGAAATTTACACAAACATTCATCCTTTGTCCTCGTAGACTCATGGGTTCGACACTAGAAATCAGAGATTTACACAGCTAGAGGGCCTCGGACACCATCTCAGCCTGAATCCCATGCCTGACTTTATAGATCAGAGCACTGTAGCTCAGAGGGAACAAGGGCCTTGTCTGAAGTTATTCGGCTCAAGTCTTCAACCACCAGCTTCATGTGGCTTTGACTGAATGCCTGCCTGCGCCCTGCTTTCCTAAGAGAACTGAATGTTGATTCTCTCTCTTCAAAGACATTTTAATTCCTAGCCAAGGAAGGCTCAAGTTCCATAGTTTCTCAGGGTAGGTTTAAACCTAGATAAATGGAGGAGATGTCTGGCCAAGAAATGGCAAAGCGGACACCAAGCTTTCTCTTATGGACTGAAGGCAAAGCAAGGGTCAGAGTGGAGCTAGTCTTTTTCTGCTTCAGGTTCTAATCATAGAGAAACACAAGTTCCCCCAGAGAGCATCGCATGCTCTCTACACTATTAAGCCTTGTGGGACATTTCCTGGTACCACATGTGTGGTCTGGGGTCCAAACAACCTAATCATTTATGAGGAGATGAGTTGAGAGCAGGAGTTTGAACCATTCCCTTCCTAAGGATCTGGGTAGTGGGATCCCGGGAGCCCTGGGGTGAGGTGAATCCAAGAGTCCATGGTTCTGTCCCTCACTGCTGGCCTGACTTCTGCAGGTCCTGCATGACCACATTGCCTACCGATATGAGGTTCTGGACATGATCGGGAAAGGGTCCTTTGGACAGGTGGTCAAATGCTTGGATCACAAAAACAATGAACTGGTGGCCCTGAAAATCATCAGGAACAAAAAGAGGTGTGGCTTGATGGGTAACATAGGACACAGAAACCGGACTGTGCAACTCCAATTCTCTCCTCCGCTGCTCTCTTCTCATCCTCTCTTTGGCTTTTCTTGTTCCTCTCTCTACCTGTCTGACACCACAAAGGGGCGAGAAGCAGCAAAAATGGAGTTTTGGATGCATTCTGACATCCTAGACATTCTTGGGGTTGTTGGGAGGGATCGAGGACTGTCTACTGCATTGTGACACGATGTGTGTTTTCTGTCCTCATTGCCCACCGTCCTGGTCACTCCTCCTTCACCCCAGATTTCACCATCAGGCTCTGGTGGAGCTGAAGATCCTGGACGCACTCAGAAGGAAGGATAAAGACAATACCCATAATGTGGTCCACATGAAGGACTTCTTCTACTTCCGGAATCACCTCTGTATCACCTTCGAACTCCTGGGGTCAGATGCTTTTTCTTTGTTACATTATAAATGGTTAACTAAGTGACAGAAGAGAAATCGGGGTCAGAACACTAGATGTTTTTCTGGATGTGGTACTTAAGGACTAGAGTAGACATAATAGTTCCTCGGATAGAAAGGAGGTTGAGATGGAAATCTGACTTCTGACCCTGCGCCTGAATAAAAGCTGTCACCTGCTTGCATCCATACTTCTGCCGGGCTTCCTGGATGCTGAGTATTGGAGTGGGTGACATAGCAACAGCCCTTGCTCTCAAGATGGAAACTGAAACATGCTGAAAAGGTCATCACTTGGCTTTCATGTTCCCCTGTCCTGGCCTTCCAATCCTGTGGCGCAGAGATTAGAACACAGAACCACAGGCAACTAGATACTTAGAGGGAGCCAAGGACTTTGATTTTGAGTAGAGGTAAGAAAGAACAAATTTTTAAAAGAAAAAACCAGGACCCTGATTTATGTAGATTGGCAGCGAACGACCGACTACGGGTCTGAAAAGACGCGCTTGCGAGAAGGGGGCATGCTTATTTGATTACCTTTCTCTCGGTGAACACTGATGCATTTGAAGTCAAAGCAGAAGCTCGGAATGCATTGATCCAAGGAGAATGATGAGAGGGCGCGCTCAGTAGCCAGATGTTCCTGGGTCACTGATTTAGTAGCTTGATACTTTCATGACAGTGTCCACTTCAACGAGCGAGTGGACGTTCTGGTCACCTTATCTGGTGACTGCAAAGCATAGTCTACTCTCCAGTATGCAATGTAGTAGACTAGACAGGATAGACTGCCTCTCTTAGCCATTTAACACCATGCCCAGGTAGGATGTCACTGTATTTTAAAGAGCTGTAAGAAACCCAGCTATGTTGGGGAGTTACTCACCATCAAAGGTCGGAGTGTCTAGAACCAGCTCTCCTATTTGTATTGTACCCCCAAGACTAATGGCTTCCTAAATGTTGCTATAGACAGATAATGTCAGAAATGAAAGCGGGGGAGGAAATGGCCAGGTATTGACACATGCTCTTTCCTTCCTGTTCTCATATTAAAGTCTACAGAGAAGACAAAAGTCATCCGCTCACAAATGTGTGTGTGTGTGTTTTTTAAATGCTCAGCATTCATTTCCAAACCTTGCAAGTCAGCAGATTTCATACAATGCAGCACAGCTTTCTGGAATGTTGCAGCCTTTCCTGCACTCTAGAGAACTGAGGATGGCGTGGGAAGCGTCAGTTTTCATTCTTGCAGAACCAGAGTGAAGGGGCTAAGTAGCCACGCTTACCTTTGGTAGAGTTGGGGCTCCCTGGTTTGTCTGAGCTTCCACTGGCCCCTTCTCAATTCCCATACATGACATGATGTTGAAGTACACATGCTGGGGCAGGCGTGGTTGCTTTGTCGATGGCTCCCTGGGTCTTACCCAAGAGCTGGAGGAACTATCGTGCAGCCTTGCCTCCTGGTTTATGATGTTTGGTATTAGAGGGAACCCTGTGACACAGGTATACGTGTGTTTCCAAGCAGAGCATGATGTCTGACAGCCATCTACATCACTCTCCCTCTCTCTCTTTCTCAGAATCAACTTGTACGAGTTGATGAAGAACAATAGCTTTCAAGGCTTCAGTCTGTCCATAGTCCGGCGCTTCACCCTTTCTGTTCTGAAGTGCTTACAAATGCTTTATGTAGAGAAAATCATCCACTGTGATCTCAAGCCGGTGAGTACGAACTGGCCAGCTGGTGGGGCTGGCTGCCATCACTGGTTTCCAGGATGGAGGTGAGACGGTGTTCATTAAAAGACGGTGATAGTGTGAGGACTAAAGCATAAATACTGGGGACAGTGATGTACTGAGGTAGCTAGGAACAGGAACACCTGAGGGCTTTCCTACAGAAGTGGGTCATAGCTGGTGTCTTGAGCATCAAGACATACTACAAGAAGTCCCAAGAGTCTGGATTTTCTCCTTTGGTACTTTTGATTGCCAGTTACTGCAGTCTTTAAGAGTGTTCTTGGGAGCTCAGCCCAAGTACTCCACTGCAGGTCTCTGCCTCTGTTTCCATCCCTTGCTGGAAAAAGGTTCTATGGTGATATTAAAGATATTCATCAATGTGACTACAGGGCAAGGCCAGTTCGGGCACCTCTCCTCTATTGCTTAGGCTCTTACCTGGGGTCATCCTTGTGGATTCCTGGGAATTTCTCTAGTGCCAGGTTTCTTGCTAGCCCCATAATGGCTCCCTTAGTCAAAATACCTCTTTCCTTGTTCTCATCTCTGTCCTTCCTCCATCTTGTCTATCCTGTTCCCTCAAGTTCTCCTCCCTCCTTCCCTTCCTTCCTCTTCCTCCCTTCCCACACTCCCTTCTCATCTAAACTCCATGCTCCCAATTTTGTCAGGCAATCTTATATTTCCTCTTTCCAGGTGGATCTATGTATGTTTTCCTTAGGGTTCACCTTGTTACTTAGCTTCTCTAGGATCCTGGACTATAGGCTTGTTATTTTGTTTTACAGCTAGTATCCACTTATGAGTGAGTACATACCGTGCTCATCTTTCTGGGTCTGGGTTACCTCACTCAGGATGGTGTTTTCTAGTTCCATCCATTTGCATGAGAATTTCAAGATGTCATTGTTTTTTCTGCTGAATAGTACTCCATTGTGTTAATGTACCACATTTTTTTAATCCATTCTTTGGTTGAGAGACATTTAAGTTTTTTCCAGGTTCTGGCTGTTAGAAATAATGTTGCTATGAATATAGTTGAACAAATGTTCTTGCAGTATGATGGAGCATCCTTTGGGTATAGTCCCAAGAGTGGTATTGCTGGGTCCTGAGGTAGGGATTCCCAATTTTCTGAGAAACCACCGTACTGATTTCGAGTGGTTGTACAAGATTTCATTCCCACCAGCAATGGATGAGTGTTCCCCTTACTCCACATCCTCTCCAGCATAAGCTATCATTGATGTTTTTGATCTTAGTCATTCTGACTGGTGTAGATGGTATCTCAGAGTCATTTTGATTTGCATTTCCCTGATGGCTAAGGATATTGGGCATTTCCTTAAGTGTCTTTAGGCCATTTGAGATTCTTCTTTTGATAATTCTCTGTTTAGTTCTGTACCCCATTTTTAAAATTGGATTATTTGGAATTTTGATGTCAATTTCTTGAGCTTTTAAAATATATTTTGGAGATCAGTCTTCTGTCTGATGTGGGGTTGGTGAAGATCTTTTCCCATTCACTGGGCTGCCTTTTTGTCTTATTGACTGTGTCCTTTGCTTTACAGAAGCTTCTCAGTTTCAGGAGGTCCCATTTACTTATTTATTGTTGCTCTCAGTGTCTGTGCTACTGGTGTTATATTTAGGAAGTGGTCTCCTGTGCCCATGCGTTGAAGGCTACTTTCCACTTTCTCCTCTATCAGGTTCAGTGCGGTTGGATTTATATTGAGGTCTTTAATCCATTTGGACTTGAGTTTTGTGCATGGGGATAGATATGGATAAAGGAGTGAGAATGTGAGCAAAGAGGTCAGTGGATGGGGACACCCACTGAAACAGTTTACCTGAGCAATTGGGGGCTCACCAACTGTGATCAGACAGGGACAGAACCAGCACAGGACCAAATTAGACCTTCTGGATGTGAGTGACAGCTGTATGGCTGGGGCAGACGGCAGGGTTTATCCCTACTGCTTGTACTGGCTTTTTGGGAACCCAGTCTCTTTGGATGGATACCTTACTCAGCCTAGATATAGTAGGGAGAGCCTTGGACCTTTCCCAAAGCAATGTGCCTCACCCTCTCTGAGGAGTGGATGGGGGTGTGGTGGGGGAATGTGGAGGGGATGGGAGGAGAAGAATGAGTGGGAACTGGGATCGGTATGTAAAATGAAAAAAGATTGTTTTCCTTTTTAAAATAAATTTATTTTTAAAAGATAAATTATAAGAAAACATTAAAAAAGAGTATGCTTGTCAGTTAGGTTTGGTGGGAGATCAGAAGTTCAAGATCATCCTCAGCTATATATGGAGTTCAGGACCAGCCTGAGATACATGACATCCTGCCTTAGACTGCCTTTCCCCAATATTTATTACTGTATATTTATTGAGAGCATTGGAGATTACTCTATAACATGCCTCCACAAACAAAGCCAGTAAAATCTTATTGGAGAGATGCATGCACAGCCATAATGGAAAGACTCACCATGACATGTAATGGTAGCACATCCCTATTGAGAATCATACTTTGCATATTCAAAACTGGTGGACACCTGTCAATGGCACACATGTAGGCAGATGGTCTCCGTTCAATTCTCATTCTTACTGGCATTGTATACATAGCTCTATATCTGTACTGATCACTTTATATAGGAACTGCTTCTTTGGGAAGAGGGTTGGGTTTCATTTGGGGTTTTTTTCTTTGTTTGTTTGTTTGTTTTTGAGTCAGAACTCAGGCTGTCCTAAGCACCACATCAAGCTGAGGCTGACCTTGAACTCTTGAGTCTCTTGCTTCTACCTCCCTCAAGTGCTAGGACTACAGGCATGCACCACTGTGCCTGGCTAGGAATTGGTTCCTAGATCTGTGCCACCCACTGGACTACAAGTTCCTCCTGAGGGCAGGGACCACTTCTTTTCACCGTTATGTCCCCAGGACCTGACCCAGGACCTGCTGCCAGACATAGAAGACAACAAATGGCTGTGACATGGGTAATGGCTGTCAATGCAGAGCAGTGGCTTGGGACAAGATATGAAGGACTGGTCCACGACCAGCCTAACTCAGAGAGGCCACAGTTTCCAACTTGCCCTCCCTCTCCCCTCTTTCTCCCTAAAAATGGTTGTTAAAGTTTTTTTCAAGATAGAGAGATATAGTTGTAGTTGGTTGGAGCCTCATAAGGATGGAAATATATTGATTTATCTACCACACCCAGTTCCAAAATTACCTTTCCAGCTCCAAACAGCCCCATAATACCTATGGTGTTTAGATTTGGTTGAGGGGGGGGGCTGGATTCCTCCAAGGAAATCCACGAGTTTTTCACCAGCCAAATTATCAGGGAACAGATTTCTTTGAGACAGGAGTCAAGTGTACTCAGTAAGTCTGTCCCTTTGGGAACTGGAACGCAAACTAGGAGGGTGTTTGGTAAATATGTATTAAAGAGCAGGGGATTGTTCTTGTGTCTTTAGTGTTTACAGTGCATGAGTTCTGAGTGCCCATAACCTTGTACTCTTCTAAGAGAGCTCTCTCCCAGTAAGAAGGGGGACGGTGTGACTGCCCATCTTCCATTGCTGTGACAAAATATCAATGGAAACCAGCCTCTGAGGAGGAGGAAAGGTTTGTTATGGCTGATGGTTTCAATCTGTGGCCAGTTGGCACCATCATTTTTGGAACCGTGGTGAAGCTAAACATCATTGCAAAGAGTGAAGCTCGTCATTTCATGGTGGCCAGGAAGAAAGAGTGGGGTGGGTGGGGCTGGTTCTCAGTATCCCCTTTACTGCCCAGCCCCACTAACTTCCTCTCACTAGACCCCACCTCCTAAAGTCCCTGCCACCTCCCCATAGTGCTGCAGGTCAACAAATAAATTTGCAGCCCACAGGCTGGTGGGGATATATAAGATGCAAGGCACAGCTTAAGGCTGGCTCCATCTAGTGATAGAGCCTCTTCATTGAGCTGGAGACACACAAGAAGTTCTTCCTCTTTTAAGACTTCTGCCGTCTATCCTCCCTGGGTTAACAGATATTCTTCTGTAAAGCAAGAGGCTTCAGACTCGCTCTGCTGTGACCTATGTGCATGTCAGCCCAGTAAGCAATCATCTCACAGGGAGACCCTTGAGGCATAGTTAGGACCTTACTCTTCTAGCCTTAAGTAGCAGTTTCACGTTGAGACAAGAGGCCAGAGCTGTGCCTTGATCCATGACTTGACTACACACCTGGCCCCTGAAATTCAGTATGAGAGCCGTAGAGCCCCATCAAATCCTCGTATCTGTCTCTATGTCTGTCTATCATCTATCTATCTGTTATCTACTTGCCTATGAATGTATTAGTTCTATATTATCATAGCAGAGTGTTAATGATAGCATTTCTTATAAACATTACACATATTCAGCTAATGATATTTTTAAGGCCTTATGCCTTAGCAAACAACCAGGTGCCAAAGAACACATAAGTAAACTGATATTGTCAGGAGTTTTTGGACAACCAGGGAGGGGAGAGACAAAATATACACAAATGAGGGAATATAAAACAGTGAAGACTGGGTCCAAATCACATACTGACCACAAATCAATGGGGAGTTCCAGGAGGGAAGACAACGGGCAGTGGAGAAGATGTGGGAAGAGGACCTTAGAGGTGGGCTGTATTTGAATGGGACTGTCCTTGTTCAGGAGTGACATATAGGTAAGGAGGGGGCCTAGGTAACATTAATTTAAATAAACATAACATGTATCTTCTTTTCTCCAGGAAAATATCGTACTATATCAGCGGGGCCAGGTCACTGTTAAAGTTATTGACTTTGGATCAAGTTGTTATGAACACCAGAAAGGTAGGCCCTTTGCCAGGCTTTCTGTCTAAGCTCTGCTATTATATGTGCTTTCTATTTGCATGCCAGGTTACCTGGGTGCCAGCCTGGGTTCAGCCATCACAACTGCCAGCATACACTTGAGTCAGGTGTTTCACATCTCCGAGTCCAAGTTTTTCATGTATAAAAGAAGAGAGTTGTGTCCAAAGAGCATACGGACTCTGAAGTCCTCATAGTCGGTGGCTGTGGAATGACCCATGAGCACCGTGGTCCCCAAACAGACTAGATGTGCTTAGCATCGCTCCAGGGCTTGGAACACAGCAGTCCCCAGGCGCTCACCTTAACATGCATCAGATCCAAATTTCTGGTGCGTACTCAAGAGGTTGCACTTTAGGAACCAGTCACTCTACAGTTTCTACTCCACCAGACCTTTTCAATCTAGAGCCTAGATGAAGGCGTAAGTCACGAACAAGGCCACACCAGTTTGGAGTTATGATTAACAGGGTGTTATTTATTTAAAGGGGAAAAAACTTACAGATCACCGTCCCAGACAACAGCCATCTGCACAACCAGGAAGGGAGTCTAGTCTCCGGTGGAGCAGGAAGTGAAGAGAGCGAGCAGAGGAAATAGCCGCTTTTTTAAAGGGAGAGAGACCACACCCCAATGGGCTGGTATCACAGCAGCTATTGGTTGGAGGGGCGGAAGGACCTCCCGCAACACCTAGAAGGGAACCCTGGAGCATATTCCTACAATCTTCACTGGACGTAACTGGATTTATCTGCCTCTTTGCCTTTTACAAGTCAGATCTAGAGAACAAGTCCCCTCTATATGTCACTCATTAATCTAGGCACAAAAAGACAGAACCAAAAAAAACCCAATATTGTCTCATAAAAGTGAGATAGGATCTGGCTATGTAGTCCAAGCTGCCTGGGAAACAGAGGTCATTCTGCTTCTGCCTCTCAGATGCTGGGAGCACAGATATGTGCCACGAAACCCTTCTAAATGTTAAAATGCCTTGTGTAAGATAGGGGCTGTAGCTCAGTTTTAGAATGGTTGCCTATTTATACCTAGGAATTCGTGGGTCTAATCCGAGCACCAAATAAACCAGGCATGGTGGCACACAACTGAAATCCTGGCAGTGGGGAGGGAGAGGCAGGAGGGTGGGAAGTTCTAGATCAGCAGGTCTCAGCCTAGGAGTTGTGACTCCTTCGGCAAACCTCTATCTCCAAAATGTTTACATCACGATTCGTGATAGTGGCAAAATTATAGTTACAGAGTAGCCACAAAAATAACTTTATGAATTTTATGGTTAGGGGGTCACCACATATGAGGAACTGTATTAAAGGATTGCAGCATTAGGAAGGTTGACAACCACTGTTCTAGGTAATATTCAATGCTACATTGTGAGTTTGGGGCCAGCTTGGGCTACATGAGACCTTGTTTACAAACAAATACAAGCCAAACAAAGTGAAAATATGTGTGTATAAGTGCTGGCAAATCAGTTTTACAAGCAAGTAGGGTAGAATAATCTATTTTTGAATAATGAAATCTTGATGTTGAGAATTAGTTCATCTTCACTTGACCAGTTTAACAACAGGGATATGTTTACATGACCACTTCCTTGCTCTGCACCTGCCCAATAATCAGAAATCATGATCATGTGCAGACCACCAAAAGTTCCATCTTTCTGCCTCCAAGCCTCTCCCCTATAACATCCAGGGTTCCTGTAGCATCGTTGCCTGTGTGTCCTCCACTGCTGAGCTTTGCCGAGTCTTTGTCTCTGTGCTTCATGTCACACGAGTCATACATAATGTATCAATTCAACCTAAATTATGATCTAAAAAAAACCCAAACAAACAGGGTCTCAATATGACGCCCAGGCTGGCCTGGAACTCACAATTCTTGTCTCAGCCTTGTGAGCCAATGGGAGATCTGACCTGGCTCTAAATTTAAATGATGTTTTGCAGGTTTGCTTTCCAACTGTGACTTGTTTACTTCCACAGCAAATAATAGGAATGCTCTCAGAAAATGTCCACCCAAAACTTGAGCACTTAGTTTGTATTAGCTTTAAGGGTTTCTTTTGCTGTTACTGGTTTTTAAATTTTATTTTTGAGACAGGGTCTTTGCATCTAGCCCAGAATAGCTTTGAACTAAACAAGTAGCCCAGGCTAGCCTTGAACTTTCATCCATCTGCCTTAATCTCCTGAATGCTAAGAATAAATGTGTGTGGTATCATACACACCACTGGCACAACATGGCAGGTTGGTTTGTGTGTTGTTGGTGGAGGGGGTTTTGATGTTTAGTTTTATTTTTAAAAGAGCTAATTTAAATTTTCTTCCTTGGAATTTACTCCTTTGGAGTTCCTTATCAATAAAATGGGGGTAACAATCAGCTTCTGGGAGGTTTCATCTATTGGTAGATAATGGAAGAAGCCCACAGAGGGCGGTGCTCTAAATTAGCCACCACAGAGGCATCTGGAGAAAGCTTTGTGGTGAGGTTTCTCTCCCTTTGCACCACAGTGTACACGTACATCCAAAGCCGTTTCTACCGATCCCCAGAGGTGATTCTGGGCCACCCCTACAACATGGCCATCGATATGTGGAGCCTGGGCTGCATCATGGCGGAGCTATACACCGGATACCCACTGTTCCCTGGGGAGAATGAGGTCGAGCAGCTGGCTTGCATCATGGAGGTGAGGGGAGGGTCAGCCACCAGCATAGATGATGTCCGGGGATAAGGTCCATTCTCAGACACTGGGCTTCATCAGACCCAGCAAGGGCAGTGCCCTGCACACTTCCCGTACTTCTGAACGTAGTTTTGAAACGATGTACCTCTTGTATTTGGCTGAGCCGAGAGCTAACTTTTTCATCATGTTTTAAACAGTTGCTGATGATGCCCTTTCCCTCACTGTAAATACTGACATATTAAAATAAAACGGTGACGCTAGTCTTTCAAATACATCACCATGATGGCGATACTAACAGTACTGAAGCCAGTGTGATCTGGTAGCCACCCAATCTACCTAAAAATCAAGTGACTGGGTTCTTAAACAACTGCACCTTTCCCCTGCTTTCTTCTTCTTTCTCCTTGAAAAGATGGAGGTAAAAATAGCTGGACGCGGCAGTCAAGTGGTAGTAAACCAGGGTCCAGCCTTGGATTTATCCTTAAGGCATGCCACATTGTTTGCTGTGGACCACTGAAAAGGAGGGTCAGGGCATGTATTGCTAAGGCTGAATACACTTGAACCGTCCCTGCTTCTAACACATGGGACACTGGAGTGACGTGTGTTCCCTACTGCTTCAGGACCCACTCTGCTTCCTTTGGACCTCTGAAGGGCTGCAGAACCCAGAGGGCAGGGTTATGCCTACGCTGTGCCTACCAACCAGGGCAGAGAGTACTCTGGCTAATTTCCCTTTGCCTCAGACGCATGCAAGTTTCAGAAAAACCAGTCACCAGTCAGCACTAAATTTTCTTCCCAAGAATGTTCTTTTGTTGTCTCAGGATCCAGGGCTGATCTCTTTCCCCCTGTCCCAACCCAGTGCTTCACCCTGGGAGAAGGCATTGCTCATTCACTGTGGTCTGCATGGAACTGACAAGGGACGTGGGTGCTACCACCATGTCTTACCTGTTGAGCATGGTCAGTGTTCATTTGTAGGCTACTGAGGCAGCCTGGAGTAGGAATTGCAAGACTTAGTCCCTGGGTCTGCTCTGCCACTGATGCGATGTTGTTACTTAAATCTTTTGAACCTTAAATGTAAAAGACAAAGTTTGGCCAGAGTCCAACCTAGATCTCGACAGCCTTTGAATTTGTGACTCTGCAATAGTGACACAGCCACACTGTACTTGTTGAAGGTGCTGGGCCTGCCACCTGCCCACCTCGTTCAGACGGCCTCCAGGAGACAGATATTCTTTGGTAAGTTCCATGATCTCTTTGTCCCTTTGTGTCTGGTGAGGTGTCACTGGACTTGAAGACACCTACCAGACCCTAGGCAAACAGACAGACAAATACTTTCTTCTCCCATATGGAAGGGTGATGAGGAACTGAAGAGAAGCTAAGTGGTACCCAATAGGACGACAGATAGTGTCTCACAGTGAAAGGGGATCCTAACAGTACAATACCAGGAGTGTGGAAGACCCTATTCCTCAGATCTATCAGCTAGTAACTGCATCCACAAAAGGTTAAAAGATACGCCCTCCTAGAGGTGTTTCGCAAACGTTTTCTTGCTATGCACCGTGCCGAAAAATCAGGGCAGAAATTTCTGGCATAGTGGAAAATTCTACTGTTACAGTCTACTGTTATGGAGAATTATTATTGTTATCATTATTGTTATTAGGTTTGTGTGTGCAGGGGTGGGGTGTGTTTGCGTGGGTACATGTGTTCTGCCCCATGAATGGCCTCATTTTTTTACTTTATTAGGATAGTGATGAAGGAGCAAGGGCATAGATAACCCAAGAAGATATAACCTCCTTTTGCCATTTGAAATAGATTTTTATTCATTAGCACCCCCCAGTGGCAGCAATTGAAACTATTCGCTCAATGTGGGAAGGGGCTCAGACAGAGCATACAGGATAGTAGAAAACCTTGCATTTGGCATGAGTTGTATTTACTAGATGAGATATGTGGACTTTTTCAATCTGGCTGAGACTGTTGGGTGTGTCTGTATGCATGGCGGAGAAGGGTGGAGAGGGACAGGCATGCCACACAGAGGACAAGAGCTGCAGGGAGGCCGCCAAGAGGCGGCATGATTGAGTGGTCAGCTGTGAAGTGCTGGGTGGATATTTACACCTGGAACTAAATACAGAATGTTGTTTCTTTGAAGATTCCAAAGGTCTTCCCAAAAATATAACCAACAACAGGGGAGAGAAAAGATACCCAGACTCCAAGGATCTCACGATGGTGCTGAAAACCTACGACTCCAGCTTCCTAGACTTTCTCAGAAGGTGTTTGGTGTGAGTTTGTCGGGGTGTCTTTGCCTGTGGGTTTCCTAACTGTTAAGTACTATGCTTTCCCATGTTTGCCAATGGATGTCTAAGGCTGGGGGATAAGTGGAAGAGTCAGGCACTCTTCTGTTCTCACGGTAGAGCTTTGAAGTCTTCAAGTGATTTAATGCGTATCTGTATCTGGTCCGCCTACAGTCTATGCTCAGAAGTTCAGCCATTTTCTCTGGAAAGTGTGTGTGTAGAGACTGTCACTCTCTTAGTCTCAAACGGCCTGACAGAGATTGTAAGTCCTACCGCCTGGCACTTCATGAGCTGAGGCCAGCTCTTCAGTAGGTCTGTTGTATTGTATGCAAAGCTATGCAGCATACACGGGCTCTGGGAATGGCTGGATTTAGCGTCCAGACCTCCACAAACCGGGCAGTTAGGGGTAGGGTGAGCTGCGGACTGCCGCGCACAGCTGACACTCAGACTCTGAGAAATCAAGCTCTGCACTTGAGCCACACCCTCACGAACAAGGAGGGGCCGTGATGCAGGCAGTCCCGTTCCAGCACTATGGTGTTCAGCAGAGCTTGGCCACGGCTGCTGCTTAAGAGACTTGCCAGACCGTCTCTGCTGAGTCTAAGTAGCTTGGCCATGTGCCTTTTCAGCAGTCACCACTGCTCTCTGGCCTGTTTCTTATCCTCCAAAATGAAGTGTTGCTAAGGTACCTTCCAGCCATCAGCACTCCAGCTGTTCGGTGCTTTCAGGAGAGTGTATCTTTACAGCTGCTCTTCTTCTGGGGGGGGCAGAGTGACTTTAGCAAAACACTCTGGGCACTTATGGCTTCGAGAACTCAGGCAGCAGTCCAGAGGGCAAACAGCATCGCTAGAAGAACCCTCTCATCCATGGAAGTCATGCTGTTTTCCACCTGAAATCACAGGGAAGGCTCTGGTACCGCATCTCTATTCTCTGTTACTCCAGCTCCGGCTGAGGCTATAGAATAAATGTCCTGTAAAAAATGACAGGAGACAGAGACAGGCGGAGCTCTGTGAATTCAAGGCCAGCCTGGTCTACAAGAGCTAGTTCCAGGACAGGCCTCAAAGCTACAGAAAAACCCAGTCTCAAAAAAAAAAAAAAAAAGAGAGGAGAGAGAGAGAGAGAGAGAGAGAGAGAGAGAGAGAGAGAGAGGATATTAACTGGATTTGGCGTAGTTGTTACCCAGAACTCTAACCATCTGGAACATAGTAGTCCGGGAGCAAAACAGATTTTATTTATTTATTTATTGATTTGATTTGTTTATTTATTTATTTATTGTAAAGGATCAATTGCTCTGAACTCATAAGGCAGTAATGCTGACAGGGACTGTTACTCAGCCTGTAATGCCCAAGGAGCAAAGCTTTGGAATGGCGGACTAGAGGTTCTGAGCCAAAGCCCACAGGGTGAGACGGAACACACGAAGCCCTGCCATGCAGTCTTGGAGGCTGACAGCAGAAGTTCAGCGGAGGAGATAGAGCTCAGCAGCAGCAGTTCATTTCACAGCCGAGGGCTTTGCAGCTGATGACTTTGACGAGTCTAGAATGCTCGTACTGCCTCCCTGGAGCTGGAAGCTCTGCCCAGCATGATGGGCAAGACATGGAAGTGCCCGCCATGAGGTGGCCGGACGACAGAACCACGTGTATAGCGAACAGTCAGTGGTGACTGTGAAGGCTTGGCGCTGGCAGAAGAGCGTGTCTATCTGTCGCTCTTCTGGAGAAATGGGTGTTTTCAGAGTTGAAAGGACTAGGACCTAAGAGAAGGGTCAGCTATTTTATCCCGTCTAACGCTAACGGGTAGAATTTAGACTCGGGTGGAAGTTACAGGGAAATAAGCCAGTCTTGGCTCAGTAAGATTGAACATGAAACCCTCTTGAAGATGAGTGTTTCTCAGCCGAGTTAGATGGCAAATGTACACAAACCCAGCTGCTTGGAGGCTGACACAGGAGCATTGCAAGTCTGAGTTCAACCCTGGCTGAGTAAGAGCCTTTTCCAAAATAAGACGGAAAAGCACTAGAGTGACACTCAATGGCAGAGCCGTTTCCGAGAGTACTCGAGGCCCGGGTTTGCTATCTAGCGTGAAAAAACAAACAAACCAGATACTCGGTTCTGTAAAATGCAGTTTTTTTTTTCTTTTTTTTTTTTTTTTTTTTTTTTTTTGATACAGTATCTCATGTAACACAGGCTATCCACAAATTCAGTACATACTTGAGGCTGGACTTGAACTTCTGATCCTCTTGCCTCCACCATCTCCCTCCCCCTGAACTGGGATTAAGCGTGCACCATCAGGCTCTGCCCCCGTATGAATCTGATATTCTACAATTTCCCCCTTATCTTTGGAGTCCCAGATCCCACAGTCTGAGAAGTATGCATCTCGTTTCCATCTTAACTTGCCAAATCCTACGTTTCATTGGCTAGGATTCTTTAACATTCCTTTGTTTGTTTCAGGGGCTTGTACGCAGGCACTCAACCGCTGAGCTACATCCCCAGACTAAACAATATTTCCTGCAAGAGAATTTCTAGGGGTCCTAGACAATTTGGTATTAATTTAGTATTATATAATAATAATAATAATAATGATAATTCACCTTTTCTTTAAAAAATATCAATAGTTGTTTGCAGCCATTTTACAATTATGCCATCACCTCTGCTCTCTGATATCTTTGAAAACGGAAAACATCTTAATTAGGTTTACAAAACATTTTACAATGGAAAGTCAACAGTAACCAACTCATGTTGGGCTGTCTTGGTGTCCAGATGGGAGCCTTCTATGCGCATGACCCCTGACCAAGCCCTCAAGCATGCCTGGATTCACGAGCCACGGAAACTCAAAACGCGGCCCAGGCCACAGATCCTAAGGAAGTCCAGTTTATGTACGTCTTCTGAGATAAGCAAGAACAAGGCGGAAGAGCGTCACTCCAGCGAAAGCAAAACAGGTACAGTCTCAGGAGCAAGGCAGGGGTCAAGCCAGCCCTGATGTCTTCACGGGATGTGGGCTAATTCAGCCCTCACCACACCATCATGAGCTTACCATTTCTTGTTTTTGTGTGTTTCCTCTTTCGGGAGACCTTGTTGTAGCTGGATCCCTCTGTTTGGCCTCTTGCCATTAGGATTTTCCACTTTTCAATGTTCGAGTCCCCTTCTCCTTCCTTGTTCTTTCATTATGCTTACCCCTTGTGTCCTATGACCATCTTTTATGTCCTTTTAAAGAAATACTTTATTATTGGTGAGTGTGTGTGCTGGAACCTTGCATGTGGAGGCTGGGAATGGAGCTCTGGTCCTCTGGCAGAACAGCAAATGCTCTTGACTGCTATGTTATCTCCAGCCCCCTTTACATTACTGTAATGACATATATTGGCATAAGACAAATTTTTCTTTGCAGTGTAGCCTAGAAAGACAGATCGCTGGACTCAAGTGGGATCAAATTCTGCTTCTGCAGTACCAGGTGTGGCTCTTGGGCAATTTACCTCTCCTTAAAAGACAACAGTGCTTATTCTGTGAGGTTTGGGAGAGGATCTCATGGATCAGCACAAGGGCTCAGAATAATGCTGCTCACCGAATGTTCAGTTCTCACAGCTGTCGTAAAGCCTAACGCACAGCGTCCCTTCCTTCCTGCAGATGAGACCACCAAAGAAACCACAGACAAACTAAAAGACGACACTGAGAAGCCCGGTCAGAATTCAGGCAAACAGCAGAGCTCTCTCCAGCACACGGCTGACACAGTCCAGCTGCCTTATCTAGCAGAAACTTCTGGAAAGCCAGAGACTGTTGCTGGGCCAGAGGTGTCTGCAGAACAACAGTGCACCTCCTCCCCCAAGAGCACGAACATTTTACCACCCATCATGTGACCCCCACGGAGGGTGCATCCTGTTCCTTTCCACCATCCATTTGTATCAGAGAAGGCACTTTGATTGTACAATACTTCACACTGCTTTTTTAATGCATAAAGGTTTGTAAGAAAAATCAAACTCTCTTCACACGGTGAGTTGGCATGATTCCTCCAGTAAAGGTGGGGGGGGGCTTTATCTGAACATAATTTTTTAGGGTGTATGTTGTCTAGGGGGCAGTATTGAATGCTACAGCCTCATTCACAGAACTCTAAATAAAATCGTAGCTATTCTTGTCTGTGACTCTCAATCCGTGTCACCCAGGATTCTCTCGTTTTGCTTTACGTGAATGTGATTGTATATGTATGTGTGCCGGTGCACATGGGGGCCAGAGAATAACCTTGGGTGTCGTTCTTCTTGCAGTCCACATGGTTTCCCAAGATGATCTCTCACTGGCCTGAAACCTGCCAAGTAGGTTGGTCACTGAGTAGGGGTCTGTCTGTACTTCCCCAGTGATGGGATTACAAGTGTACTCCACCATGCCACCCATTTTAAGATTTATTTTTATTGTGTGTGTGTCTCTGTGTGTGTGTAATCCTGTGGTGTGTGAGCAGGTGCTCAAGAAGTCTAGTAGAGGGCGTCAGATCCCCTGGGGCTGGAGTTGCAGGTGGTTGTGAGCTGTCTGATGTGGGTGCTGGGAACCGAACTCTGGTCCTCTTGAAGAACGAGCAAGCACTCTTTACCACACAGTCATCTTTACCACAAGGTCCATGTCTGGCCTTGTCCCGCTGATCCTGGCTATTGAACTCAAGTCCTTATGTTTATGTGGCAGATATTTACCAAATGACTAAGTCCATGGCTTCGTATCAGTTTATTGGTTTGTACAGTTGGGGAACAGCTCAGATTCCCTCTTGCCTCCCTTCACTTTCCCCCTTCTGTAGCTAGCTTGTTCTGATTACAGGCTCAGCTTGGAGGTTAACGGATTACCCACATTCTCTTCAAAGCGCAGTCTTGGGTTAGGGGCACAGCTTAGCAGGTAGAGTGGTTGCTGCATAACCAGGAGGGCTTGAAAGTGGTCCCTAGCACCCAAGTGAAAAGCTGGCTTCGGTGGTGTTTTGATTGGCTGGAACTCAGCCAATTCTGGTTTAGACCCCCCACCTCCCAACAAGAAACACTGGCTGTATCCTGGTGTAGGAGGTCCTTCTGTCTATGTGTTGCTTTCATTGGTTAATAAAGAACTGCTTTGAGCCTATGGCAGGGAAGAACTGAACTAGGTGGGGAAAGCTAGGCTGTTTGCTGGGAGAAAGAGGGTGGAGTCAGAGAGACACCATGAATCCGCCACTGGAGAAGTGATGAAACTTTGCTGGTAGACCACACCCTTGTGGTAATACACAGATTGATGGAGATGGGTTAAATTAAGATGTAAGAGTTAGCCAATAAGAAGTTAGAGCTAATGGGCCAAACAGTGATTTAATGAATATAGTTTCTATGTGGTTACTTCGGTTCTGGGCAGTTGGGACAAACAAGTAGTCCCCCCTACAACAGTATCCTCTAAAATAAAGCTAGCAAGATGGCTCAATGGGTAAGCGACTGCAGCCAGACCTAATGAATAGCTTGAGTTTCTTCCTTACCTTCCAGACCTCTCGTGGTAAAGAGGAGAACTGATCTCTGGTCTCCACACCTGGGCTGTGGTAGGCATGTCTTGCCCCAAATAAAGACATACAAGTAGTTTAGATCGGAACCAGATATGAGGCAGAGGGTCACCTTAACTACCAAACCTACGGCCTCCACTGCCCAAATGTGAGCACTGCAGGCCTGCAGTACCATCCACCACCGAGAACTCAGCTGTAGATCAGTGTTTTCCTTTTTGCCACTGGGATGACCTAGGAATGCACTGGCTACATCTACCACACCCACAGCCGCTGGGGCTGTTTCACCTCTATCTTGAACTGTGGGTACAGTCGGAGGTGGGCAGTGGTCCCACAGTTGTGCAGATTGGACATGGGGCCATACCCACAAACCACAATGTGAATGATTTTCACAGACTGTAAGAAACTGTTTTCTGGTTGTCGTGGTTCTAAAGGATGGAAACAAAATAAAATAAACCCATTGTGGTCGATTTTAAGGGAGCAGTTTAATCAGCTCACAGCTAGGACAGCAAGGAACTGAGTGGGCCACTGGGCCGCTCCGCCATCTGTCCCTGCCCTCCTACTTCTGGTGGCTTTCTCAGAGAGGGTGCAGCTTTACTTTTCAAATAAAAGGAAGCAAAACTTGTGCAGCCCTTTAATTGTAATCTTTTAATTTATGTCCTTGCTCGCATGGACAAGAAAATCTGCAAAATCCAGTGAGTAGCGTTAGATGGTGCATGTGGTGTGAGTGGCGTGAAGGGAACTTTAGGGAGGGAAGCTGAGGGAGTGAGGACACGGCCCACTGCCGGAACACCGGGTAGGCCCCAATCACAGGTTTGCCATCAGCCAGTCCAGCAGCTGCAGTCGCGTGACGTTTCCCACCGCCTCATCCAGCTGTCGCTCCTTCTCATACCTCAACACCGACTGCAGAACCTCCCCGACGCTGCGGCCTTTCTCCACAGCAGCGGCCGAGAGCTGAAGCAGCTGTGGAGAGCAGAGAGAAAGGTGATGGAGGAGTAGAAGACCCCAAAACAGGCCGGAAGGAACCTGCTTGGCTAGAACCAAGAAGCCACTGATGGGGAAACTGAAGTAGGAGGGACTCGGGTTGAGAACAAACTCTCAGGGCCATGCAGCTAAGGCTGGCCCCAAACTGTTGATCCTCTCACCGCCCCTCCCAAGTGCTAGGATTATAGGCATGAGCCACCTTGCTCCAAACCAATGGATTTTAATTGTTACGGTTCACGGACTGTAGCCAGGGCCTCGTGCATGCTTAGCTCTTAGCCCCAGCTCAAGAAGACTTTAGCTACAGCTGCTGGTCTCATCACCCACAACACACACAAGTGTTAACATCCCCCGTTCGTGATATGGAATGTGATCTCTCACTGAGACAAATCTTCCCACTTTCTCCTTGAAAATGGTGCTTCAAAGCGAGCGTTTGTCAACACTGCTCTTGTTCCCCAATAGTTCTAATGGTTTAGGCTCACCCTACTATAAAAGTCTCCATTTCGGATGGCTTAAATTGATTGCTAACTAGACAAGATCTACAATCACTTTGAAATCAAACTTCCGGATGAGATGAGGGGCTTTTCTAGACTAGGGTAACTGAGGTGTGAAGACCCACCCTGAACGTGGGCGGCACCATTCCACAGGTTACAGTTTCACCACATAAAGATAGCTGAGTACACGCATTCATCTCCTCCTCCTTCGTCACTGTGGAATGCAATCCTCCATAGTAAGGAAGTCATGGCAGCAGAATCCTGTGAGTCACATGGACTCCACAATGACGAAGCCAGAAGAGGAATGCTTGTGCTGGTCGGTCACATGGCCTCCGCACTGATGAAGCAGACAGAGGGAGGTGTTGGATGCGACAATACTTGCTTAAAATTCAGGACTCAAAAGGTGGAGGCAGGAGGACCTCTCTAAGTTTGAGGCAGCATGCTCTATAAAGTGAGTTTCGGGTTAGTCAGGACAACACACTTCAGAAAAGCAAAGGCACAGGCCTGTCAGGACTTTTGCAAGTTCAAGGCCAGTGTGGGCCAGGGAGGGAGAGGACCTCAGTTAGCTTCCATCTCAGGTGAGATACACTGGGTGGGCAGTGACCTTGCATGTGCATGACATGGGTTTGTCCCACTTCAGGGGCAGGGCAAAATTTCAGCAAAGAAATAAGATGTAAAAAGGAGAATCAAGTGGAAATGTTAGGACTAAAATTACATTAAACCCATAAGATAAGAGGTATCAAATGGAGGAGACCACAGAAGGAAGACAATGGAATGAAGAAAGTGTTCGAGACTAAAGACATGATAAGCAGAGCTCGGGCTGTGGACACGACTCAAGGGAGCTAGCATCCCCACCCTGAGAATCCCAGCGGAGAGGAGAGGGGTGTGGTGTGGAAGAGCATCTGCAGGACCACAGCCAAAAGCTTCCTCAGCTTACCTCACGCCAAGAAGCCCAGCTTATTCAAACAAAACAAAATCCACCCCAAGACCTATCACAGAGTATTCAAAACTTTGTTTTCACAAGACAAGGGTCTTATTTGTAGCTGAGTGCTGGGATTATGGGCATCACTGTGCTCAGTCCTTAAAATCAAGTTTGGGCCTGTAAACGTGGCTGCTCTTCTAGAGAACCTGCATTCTGTTCCTAGCACCCACATCAGGCAGCTCATAACAACTTGTAAATCCAGTTCCAGGGTATCCAATGCCCTAGTCTAGCCTCCACAGGCATACACTCACATACATAGACATACATTTTAAATAAAAAAATTACTTATAGAAAGATATTTAAAAATATATTTTTGAACTGGTGATTGAACTGAGGGCCTGGCATATATTAGGCAAACACCACCACACTGAGCAACATTCCTAGAGCAGAAAACAATCCTAAGAGCAGCCAGAGGAAGCTACAGCACCACTTATAGAGAATCGCAATTCAAATGTCACTCCATTGTTTTTAATCAGTCAGAAGGGGTGATATATAAGAAATGTTGATGAGATGACTCAGAGATTAAAGCATTTACCATGTAAGCAAGAGGACCAGAGTTTGGGTCCCCAGGACCCACATAAATGCTACATGGGTGTGATGGCCTGCCTGCAATTCCAGCCTCAGCAGACAGTGGTAAGGTGTTTGAGAACAGGACCAAACCAGCTAGTTATAACAGTGTCTCAGCAAGCTCTGGATTTGATTCAGAAACCCTACCTCCAAGAATTAAGTAGAAGAGGAATCAAGAAAGAATCCCAATATCAACCTCAGGTTTCCACAAACATCATACACATGTACTGTACCCATATACATGCACCCCCATGTGTAAACTCACACACATACACATGCGGAAAAAAGAAAAAAAAAAGACCACGTAAACAGAAAAGACAAACCAGAACTCTTCATCCATACCTCAGGAATGATATTCAAATAAAAACATTCGTATAGTATTTGCCTAGTGTGGGCCATGCCCAGGGTTTAATCTCCAGTGTAGAACAGACCATGATATTCTCAGATTAAAGCGACTAAGAGAACTCATTACCAGCACACATGTTCTAGAATTACTGAAGGAAGTTCTGTGAAGGACTGCGCTAGCTGAAGGCAACTGGAAGCCAAGCAAGTAGCTCTCGGTGCAAATGGGTGACTGTTCTTTAACTCCTGTGGAGTTAACACAGATGCCTGAGCCACACAGTAACACCTTCAAAAACAAAATAAAACAAAAACCCAACCAAGACACCTCTTAAAATATCACCACAGTAGAGAAATTAAAATGGAACATAGGAAAATGTTCAAATAAACCAAAAGGAGGCAGAAAAAGAAAAACAAGAAGGAATGTTAGACAAGGACTGACCCAAATGTATGCTATACACAGAATCCACACTTCAGATCTGATGAGGAAGTTGCAAGTAAAACTACAGGAAAAAAATGTAACACACAATTGACTCTAGCACCATGATCAGCTGACCTCTGATCATGAAGGTACCAGAAAATTCATAGGGAACAGATACCCACAGGCTGACCAACAGTAAGTCAGAAACACCCACATTTTTCCCATGAAGGAATAAATTTAGTTTCCTTCCTGACAGGTATGCAAAAGTTAACTCAAAGTAGACCACCCATAGGTGGCGCTGTAGCTCAGTGGTAGAGTACCTGCTCAGCATGTATAGGGTTGTGGATTTAATCCCCGAAACTGCCGCACCAAGAAAACAAAACCACACAAAGAGCAAAGAGCCCACAGCAGCACCCATAAAAACACACAGATACAAGAGCAAAGGGTCCACATTACTTGTACACTGTAAAGATGTGTCACTCATACTGGTTTAATAAAATGCTGATTGTCAGTAGCCAGGCAGGAAGCAAAGGTGGGGTGACTAGACTAGGAGAATTCTGGGAAGAGGAAAGGCAGAGAGGCAGTAGTCAGCCGGAAGCAGAGGAAGCAAGATGAAAATGTTTTTACTGAGAAAAGGTACCAAACAACATGGTTAAACATAGGTAAGAATTATGGGTTAATTTAAGTTGTATGAGCTAGTTAGTAATAAGCCTGAGCCAACAGGCCAAACAGTTTATAATTAATATAAGCCTCTGTGTGTTTTTTTTGGGACTGAACAGCTGTGGGACCAGGTGGGACAGAAACTTTCCTCTACAGTCAACACACATAAGAACACACAGACACAAGAGCCAAGAGCCACATCAGCATACACAAGAACACAAGGAGAAAAGTTCGTTGACTTTCTATGTGCAGAGCTAGGCGGGGAGGAGGACTGGACTAAACGCTGGGAGAAAGAAGGGCAGAGTCAGAGAAAAACCATGTAGCCCCCGCCAGAGACAGAGGCCAGTTGGAATCTTGCCAGTAAGCCACAGCCACGTGGAGATATACAGATTACTAAAAATGAGTTAAGATGTACGAGTTAGCCAATAAGAAATTAGAGCTAATAGGCCAAACTGTTTTAAATAATAGAGTTTCTATGTGGTTATTTTGGTTCTGGGTGGCCAGGATGAACAAGCGGCCCCTCCTCACTACAATTGTTGTTGTTGTTATTATTAATTTTAATTCAGTGTCTTAAAATATAGCCCAGGATAGTCTCCAGCTCACTATGGCACTCATCTTCCTGCCTCAGTCTCTCAAGTGCTGGGTTATAAGTATGCTACCTAAAACACTGACAGACAATTAAGGAGTCTTCAGCCTTAGGACATATTTTATAATTCAAAAGACTTCAATAAATAGAGTCTACCATTGGCCTAAGAATGGACAGATGGACAATTCAATGGCACAGAACAGAAAGTTCAGAAAGAATCAAGTGGAAGCCGGTGTGGAGGGGCGGAGGAGGGGAACATGGACAATCGATGACAACAGAAATCTGCCTCCCTACCTTCCACTTTACACACGAAAGTATAGAAAAAGATCAGGGTCATAAATATTTTAAAGCACTAAAAGAAAACCCAAAGCAAAATCCAGGAAATAAGAAAAAGAAAAACTATCTTAGACGAAATCCCATATGGTGAAATCAAACAAACTTGAAACACCAATACATAACCTAATGGACTGCATGGTGGGTGTAATCCACCTGTAAGCCTGTCATCCCAGCACTCAGGAGGCTGAGGCAGGAGGCTCTCCAGTTTGAGACCAGTCTGGGCTACATAGTGAGCCTAAGGCCTTCTTGAGCTATGTAGTAAGACTCTGTCTCAACAAATAGGAGCGCAAAATACAGACAAAAGTATGAGAACTCTTATGTTGGAGAATGTGTACCTTCATATATATGCATCTATGTAAGTTATATCATATGCATGCATGGGCATTCTATCATATTTATGTGTGCATGCAAATGATCCCATGTGTATGTGCTGCATGTATATTGTCACGCATGTAACCACTTGTGCTAAAAGACAAATATACATTAGCTCTACATGTATGCACACATGTATTTCTAGAAGAACACGTTAGAAACAGATGAGTTGCTTTTTCTGCAGGGAGAGCAACACAGAAGTGATCTGATGAGGAGACATCCTTTACTTTCAGTGTTCATCCTTTTTAAATTTTGGGTCTGATCTTGCATCCACATAACCTATTAAAAATAAATTCTATAGTGCTGAAGGCAACTGGGTCCGTGGGCTTCCCAGTCTTACCAGGTTCAGTGATCTGTATCAGCACGAAATGCCCATACCTCAACCACTGACAGAGATACAGAGAATCCGTAAATGGATAAAACAGGATTGTGTTTTCCTGCCAAGACAGGGTAAGATAGTTTAAAAAAGTTTCTTGCCTTTAAAAATAGTATGTCAGTTACATTAGGCCTTAGCCAAAGTTGGTTGCTTCAACACTACAAAAGAGACTTCGGGTGATTGCCAGGTAGCCACTTGTCTCTGTCATGTGTTATACATTTTGGAAGTTTCTCGATTGCACTTCCTGTTCACTCAAATAATCTTGTTTCCCTTCTCAGATCTTTGATGCAGTTGAAGATTAGATAATTGTAGTTATCTTCCTCATGATTTAGACAAGGTTAATTTCAATGCAATAGTTAGACTCCTTAAAATAGAATGTTTAGTAAAACTTTTGTTATGCATTCCTTGTTTAATATTGTTTATTGTTTGTAATTTTATATTTGGTATCTGTTCCAATTGTATATAGTTGTATTGGGTTTGTATCGATCTTGTTTAGACAAAAGGGGGGGGGGGAGATGATGGGGAAACTGTCAACCAATCACATTTAGTTAAGGTGTGGGTGTGGCTACCTGGGGCCCAGAAAGAAAAGCTGGGAAAACACAGGTGCGCAATCTCTCTGAGCAGCACCCGCCGGGCAGTTAGGAAGTCGGACCTCCCACTCTTGCAGCATGAGATTTCCCTTATAACCCATAAAATCTAATTGTTATTCTTGAGCTGGCTTGGATATTTAATGGACCGACCTACTTCACAACACTGGGGAATTCTAAAAAAGGCTGACTCAGTTGTTTGGGATTGCTTACCCAATAAAATCCAGTTAAAGCCAGGAGGAAGTTATGAATGAAAAACTAGGATCTATCAAGAGCAGACACTAAACTATGATTATGACCTATCATTAAAACTTTTCTAAAATGTGACTTACTGCTCTCTTGCTGGGCCTCTGCAACACCCCACTCCTCCTAGTAGTCAAGTCGAGTAGGGATTCCACAAGGTGCGATCCTGCTGTATCACCTGGTGGCTAATCCCCATCTTCTATCTCAAGTCCCTGAAGCTACTGAATGGCCCCAAAGGCCAAACTAATAACCCTAATGAGGGGGCTCACTTTCAAAAATCGAAAAATGATTAATATCTACTATGATTTGAAGAATGCCTTCGTGGTCTGTGTGCTCATGCAACCATCTGGAAAGGGTAGAGACTACTGGCATACAACAGCTCACCCACAGTTTATAAGCAAGAGATTCTAAGTCTATGAGACACTCTCCAACTCTCAATACCACACCACACAACTTCACTGCATCATTTGTATTAAAAAAAAAAAAAAAGAAAACAAAACACTACAATGAGAACTGGAAAGTGATGAGGGCTCGTCTATAAATCCTACAGCCTAACTTTCCCTGTGTTCAAGAGCAACAGCATGTCTGGATTCACTCACAATAACCATTCCTCATACCCCTTACTGGTAACAGTGCTGGGAACAAACCTCTCGCATAACTCTGTGAGAGGAAAGGCTTTTTGTTACCATACACTCACATTAAAGGCTCCCATGCCATTTTCTGCAATTCAATCTTCTTATCCTTGTCACCAGCACCTGCCAAGCTTCCCACAGTGGTACCTCTTCTCCTCCAGTACGCACAGAAGATAATCTCCTTGGAAACCATCTCTTTTCTGTTGGGCCTCAGGGAACAGCGAATCTCTCTATCTCACCTAAAAACTTTAGCATATCTATATCTCATAAATATGTTTGGATCTAAGAGCCAACACTGCTGTGAGATTACACAGCACTGGACCCTTGCTATGTGGAACAATGGCGTTTCCATCCTCCTCAGAGACGGTGAGGCCGATGGACTGCTGCATCCACCACACCAAGTCTCCTGGAGACTCTCCATTTGTGCTCCTGGCACCAATAAATTCGGAAAACAGAAAACACCAATTTTCCTTCCGGCCTCTCTCAGTGTGTTTCTGATCGGTCATGAGCTCAATCTTGCTTTACTCTTACTTACCTCTGCCGAGGGGCATCATCACCTTGTCCGCTTCTCCCCTTCCTACAGCCGTGTTCCCATTTAGAAAACCACACCGACTGCAGAACCCAAGCTAACACACGGAAAAGCCTTCTGGCTTTGCTTTCTTACCTTCTCCTGGATCCCTTCATCATCGCCAGCAAAGTACAAAATGGGGACGTTGAGCTCGGAGGCAGCTACCCACTGCAGGACAGCTTGCAGCTGCTTGTTCTGAACAGTGTCAGCCAGGTTGTGGTTGCTGACGATCACCTTGGGTATTTCACATCCCTCGGGGGGCTGTCCTGACAAACCTCTCAGTTCGTTATGGATGGCTAGGTAGGCGTTCTGCAGGAGGGCTTCAGCTGTTCCCGTGCCCTTGACTGGCAAGCATTCATACAGGTTGTCTGGGAAGGCAGAATTTGGCCTGCTGGCATCCCCACACTTCTCATCTCCCAGCTCTGACAAGGGAGAGTCACAGGACTTGGCAATGATGAGGCATAACTTCATCACAGAGTCCATCAGGTGTTCCACCATCTGCCCGTTCATACAGCCATCTAGCTGGTTGGCGACCATCTTGGTGAGCCCAGATAAGGCACCATCAGTCTCCTCCACCTCCTCTTCCTCACAGAATTTCGGGGCAGGAGGGGTCACAGGCCTTTCACACTGATGGATCTCCTCTTCCTTAACGCCCTGTGCCTTGGATTCACTATTACGCTTACTCTTGAATATGGTCTCACTGAGTAAGTTCCGGATAAAGTTGAAGATGACACTCATGAGATCCTTCTTCTCTGTCTGTTCTTGGTCACACATCTTATGAGGAGACTTAAGTCTGGGCTCGTCGTGCACTGCCTGCGGCTTGCTGGCGGGGAAGTTGGTGGTGGCAGCAGCTTCCAGGAAGCTCTGAGGGTCCATTCTTCCTCCCTGGGCCAGGTGGTACTGAATCAGAAGTAGGGCTGACACAATCAAGTCTTTGGCCCAGGAATCTGATTCACACATAAATTTTTCAAAAGGCTCTGGTTGCTGTGGAGGAGGGCTTAAGTCACAAGGATCTGGAATCTCAACAGAAACCTCTGGCTGAGGGTGACACGGTTTCGCAGGAAGATCGATGCCAGGGGGCTTACAGTCTTTCTGATGAGCCTTGTGCCACATGGTCAGCCCCTCCTTGATGATGTGCTCGCCCAGGGTCTCCGCACAGCTCTTCTCTTTCTCTGGGATGCACGCAGAAAACAGACTCTCCCTTAGCTTTGCTTCCGATTTCATCTCAAAGTTCATGTTGGGTTGCCTAGGATCACCAGGCCGCGATTTCATGGAGATAAGGGAGTAGCTCTCAGACTTGTCCCTGGCTTTCCTTATGTTCTCGGGGAATTTCTTGGCAACCATTACATTGTACAGTTTACCCAGCATGGCATCCATGATATCTGTGGCCTTTTGGCTTCCATGAGAGAAAAAACTTCGTTTCACAGCTGAGACGAAGTCTGTGTCAGTCATGAGGCTCCCTGTGACATTGTGGAGGTTCTTCATGAACGAGTCGATGAGATCGGAGACCACCTCTTTGGTGTGCTTGATCAGTACCTTCTTCAGCAGAATGGTGGCGATGGTGGTGTCTTTCACCTGGATCTTCAGGGTCTTCATGATGGAGACCATCATGTCGGACACCACACTGTTGGCATAGGTCATGATCCCCTGACTGACAGAGTTTGTATAGTCGTCAGGCCTGTCCTGGCCCCTGAACAGCTTTCTCTCTCCAGGTAAGGACCTTCCACCGTCCTTGGCATCCCCTGCATTCCGAGATTCAAACACTTCCTTATAGAAGAAAGACTTCTTAGAACCAGGCTTGTCGTCTGGGCACTTGCCATCCCTAGTGCTTTCCTTGATCTTCAAAGTGCTTTTGTATCTTAGACCAGGGCTGTGTACTGACCCCAAGGCTCTGTCTCCAGAGCCCGGAGCTTTGTCACCAGCGATGTTCTTGGAACACGCAGTGACGGTCTCATTCACCAGCTCGGAGGCTACTGTACTCAAGCTCTTGTGGGGTGTGGGCTCATCCCCCATAAAGAACGACTGATGGACACATTTATTTTCAGAGCCATGGATCTTCTCATTGATCTCCTTTCGGGCCATGGCTATCACTAGGTTTGTGAGGCGGTTGGCATAGAAGGAAACTTCATCTATGGAACTCCCATTACCAACGTGGGCAATGGGGCCCGGAGGAGGGTTCTCCTTGTGTGTCATCTCAAAATGCAATCTCCCCGGACTGCCCCTGTTGGTGGTATTGTAGTAGTCGACACAGAAACCTTTGCGTTGGTCTCCTGGGATAGCCACTTCCTCCCCAAATGAGGACTCTCCAGGCTTGAACCTCGAGTCCTGGAACCCTGCTGTACTTTTCTCCAGGTCTTTGCGGAGCCAGCTGAGCACTCGGACAGGATCCGTTGATGCATCCTGAAAAGCAGACATGGTTTCACCCAGTTGTAGCACAGCAAAGATATGGTGTGTTCGGGACAGCCGACAAAGCCAGCCTCCTGAGCTGGCTCCAGCATCACAATAAAAGGATCCCATATTTACTGAGCAGTCATGATACTATCAGACACTGAGGATTTTAAGGCTACCATCCCATTTAAACTACTTTCACAATACACCCACATGCTAATTTTCTTGCTTTCTTCATTTTACAAGGGAGAGAATTAAAAAGAACTGAGAGATTAAGTTAGTGAGCTATTCGAAATTAAAACTTTAATCTGTGATGAAGCTAGAATTCTAAACAGCCATCAGCTACTACATTACACTGCTTCTACTGCGTCTACCAGCGACATGATAATCATGATGATCACGGGGAGTTCCTACATGAACTGAGCTGCTACGGATGCTGACTGCTGTCTCAGATCTATCTGTTCTGTTGTTTTCATCTTTTATTCTCTGAGACAGTTTCTCTGTGTAGTCCTGACTATCCTCTCTCCCTCCTGTGCCACCTCCACCCAGCTATCTGTTGTTTTGAAATTTGTCTTTTACTATAAGTAGGTTCAGAAAAATGGGAAAAGTGTATCTAATTATTCGATACAGCAAAATCTTGACCTGCACGCGCGCGCGCGCGCACACACACACACTTAAATATCAACTCACTGTAATCTATATGTGGCAAAACTTTAAACCTGAACATAGTACCATGTACATATTTATGCTTTCTTTCCTATCAAATGTAAAGTCTAGGAATGACTTCAAATATGGTCCATTTTTAAAAGAATAGTGCATTGCTATAAAGTTGCTAATATGTCATAATAGTTTACTATGAAAGTCAAAGTTACCAGCTACCGGGCTGGGGGATGGCTCGGTGTTCAGAGCACTAGCTGCTTACAGAGAACCTGGGTTGGATTCCCAGCACCCTAGATGGTCACAACTGTCTGTGACTTTGGTTCTAGAGGATCCCTCTTCTGGCCTCTACAGGCAGCAGGCACACGCTAGGTGCACAGACAAAACATCCATATGCATATAATATATCATGACATGAAATGAAACAACATAAAGCACTTAAAAATTTACTGGTTGCTATTTGTTTCTATAGCAGTAATTTAAAAAAGTTTTTAAAATTATTTTTTGTGGGCAAGCATGTATGTATGTGTGTGTATGTGCATGCACATGCGTGCCTGCAGGGGCCACAAGAGGTATCAGACCTAAGTGTGCTCAGACCACTTTATATTTCAGGATGGCAAATAATAGAGGCCTTTTCAAGCCCATTCTGGGCTTCCTCAGAACTCCCAGCAAGGGCTGGAGAGATGGCTCAGTGGTTAAGAGCACTGGCTGCTCTTCCAGAGGTCCTGAGTTCAATTCCCAGCTACCACATGGTGGCTCACAACCATCTGTAATGAGATCTGGTGCCCTCCTCTGGCGTGTGGGCATTCATGGAGACAGAATGTTGTATACATAATAAATAAATCTTAAAAAAAAAAAAAAGGAACTCCCAGCAAAGCCAGTGTCATGAGGCAGTCAGGCCAACACGAATGTGACCAGCCTTTTGATGGGATCAGAATTCTAACTTGGAGGTTGTTACTGCTTTTTATCCAAGTGGAATGGAAGAGACTTGCAGAAAAAAAGCCTGTGCTTTGTCTACCATCTGTGTCTAAATAAAAAGTATTCTCTACTCTCTACGCTGGCTGACTCTGCTTCTTGGGACACTCTTTCACAGATCTCTAGGTGACACGGACTGATGGAAACAGGAAATAATCCGAGTGCCACAGAGACTAAGTACTCCTACCCTCTCCTGCCAGAGTGCTGCTCCTGCACCCCCACCCCACTACACAACAGTATCCTGAGTTGTGTGGAAGGAGAATGCCAAACTACTCTTTCCCCTTACTGAAGCCAAAAACGTTTCACACCCATGAGGGGGGCACTGGAAGATGCCTTTGATGTTTCAGCAGCTCTTTAAGCTAACTGTAGCTCCCCAGCCCTGCTTTTTGTCTCTGTATCTAGCTCATTAAGGATATGTAATCCATGTTTTCCCCATCTCCACCCCCGAGTGCTGGAGTCACCAGGCAGGTCACTATGCCCTGCTGGCAGTGACTCATTATTTAAACTGTAACAACTATTGTGCAGAAAATCACCCAGCAATGATCATGAACTGTCTTCTTAATTAATGTCCAGTGGTTCTTTACGTAACTCCAAATGCCAGACTGATATCCAATTATACTTATGTCTTAAATTATATTTAAGCTTTACATTACAATTATGTTTTCCCATGAGTGGTAAGGTTCACCATGGCAGAATTTATTTTTATGTTTGGATCTCCTAGGTACTTCTTGCTCAGTGAAAGGTGTTAGAGTTTTGTTTGTTTCATTTAACTGAATCTGATTTTGTTTCTCTACGTAAAAGGGCAGAGGAGGATAAACTATCCAACGGAGGCAGTCTGGGGGTCTTCAGCAATTTGATATGAGTGTCTGTGTATCTTGTAAAGATTTCTCAGGGCTTTTGGCTCTTATTAATAAAAAAATATATTTGTATAAACAGAAGATGGGTCATTTAACATTACATGCAAATATGTGCTAAGCAAATGTTAGTATTCGGAGTAAGGTTACAATAATGAATGTATTGGATTGTCTCATCTTTAATGTTGTACTACAGTGTGTGTGTGTGCGATGTGTGTTTGAGTATGGAGGAGGACAAACTGTAGGAGTCAATTCTCGTTGTTCACCCTTCCAGCATGTGGGTTCTAGGACACGAACTAAGGTCATCATCAGGCTTGGTGGCAAGCATCTCACTGGTCCAAGATCTTCAAAATCAGAGACCTCGATCCAATTAGTTTGGACGTTTCTTCTGCTAGCACCTACTGTCTGTACAGGTCAATACATGGCCATTTAGTCCCAGCTCATTTTGCTCTGTGACTCTGGGACCTGACTCCTTTAAGCATCTCTCTCTTTAGGCAGTGGCCTTTGTCAGTAGAGGCCACGGCATGGCCACAAGAGGGAGAAAAGAGCGGTGCCCTGCCCGTCTAGGTTCAAGCGGCCTTGACTGAGGGTTCTTAAGAGTTTTGGCCTAATGGCTACTCTCTATGCTTACTTCTAGACGCCTGAGGTCTTTCCCTTGCATCTCTCAATAGTGTACTGCCTTTCCCCAGGAAACAGTTTCTAAACATTACAGCACAGGCCTATTTTTTATTTATTACTTTATTTTATTTATTATTTATTACTATCTTCTTATTGGACCCTTATGGATACAGACACCGCTTTCCTCCCTGTAGACTTCATAAGTGCTTGCTGGACGTCCAAGGTGCAGTGGCTGAAAGGGGACTTTAAATTTCTCATAATTTAGAGACATCCCAAATTTCAGAAATTATTTCTGATGTGCCTTGGAAACATTTATTATGCTTCTTACATTGACCAACTGACTGATTGGGAACAAGGTTTATTCCACAATATTTATGTGGAGGTCAGAGGGCAATTTATCCCAAGTTGGTTCTCTCTTTCCACTGAGTGTGTTCGAGGGATCTAGTTCAAATCACCAGGCTGCTGCAAGCACCTTTACCCGGTGGGTCATCTCACCAGTTCAGAGACTCTTCTACTCTGGTTGTTTAAAACTTAAAATGTTGTCATTGTAACACATACTTTTTATTTACCATCACATATTTTCCCACTAAACATCAAACCCAGGCTCAGCAGTCAGGAGCACATACTGCTCCTACAGAGAACCAGAGTGTGGTCCCAGCGCTCAGTTTCTCACAGACCTGCCTCTGGCCTCTGGCCCCACATGCACATGTCACGCCCCCGGGAATACAGAACTAAAAACTAAAGCATCAGGTATCATAAGCTGCACACTCTGATGGGGTAAAACGGGAAACGTTTGCTCTGCAGGAGCTCATTTTAGCCATCTTCACAGTGGAGGAAGAACGGGGCTGCTCGAGCAGTCCAGACGCTCCTAACCAGTGCTGCTGAAGAAGGAGCCCTTACCATTTTCCAGTCCTGGTGTTGGAAGTCTCCAGGTGAATAGACATCAACTTTGCATACGCCATTTTGGCTTTGTAACCAGTCAACCTTATCTGCCATCTGGTAGTATTTAAAAAACGAAAAAAGAAAAAAAAGAGAGAAGTTATCCAAAGGTTACATGAACAGGAGAAATAAAGAGAACGGCAGAGATGTGAGAAGCAGGAGCCACGCTTTCCACAGAGACCTGTGAAAAGGGCTGCTTCAGCCCACTCAAGCAGTCCTCTTCAGCGTCCGCTCCCACCTGCCACCCAACTCCTCAAACGTGCATCTCTAGAGATGAGCTGACGCCTGGACTGTGCCGTTCATGCTCATTGTACGGTACGGGAACGGACCTGTCGGCTGGCCTGCTTTGTTTGTTCCCTACCATCCCCTTCCCGCCTGATTTTCAGTACACACTTCAATCTAAATGTGACCAAATGGATGGCTTTACTTTTCTCTTGCTTGTTCTGTCTACATGACCTAATTTTAACAACAGAAACTTTGCTTCTCATCCATTTCTAGAGCCCTGACTCACACTAGTAATCTTCCCTGAGATCATCCCCTCTCCAATAAGCTAAGGATGCTGGGAGATTCTCAGATTCCCTGGTTCAGGCTCCAGGATGCAATGGTGACTTGGCTATGTATCCTTTCACGGCCTCTTTACACTTTGCTCTGTCCTCTCATTTCAGTGGTGGCGCCACCAGCTGCCCGGGCTTCTCCGTGGCATTACCAGCTGCCCGGTCCTCTCAGTGGTGGCATCACCAGCTGTCTGGTCTTCTCACTTCAGTGGTGGCGTCACCATCCCCGGTCCTCTGTGCTAGAGAGCTGAGATTCATTTTGTCTGGCATCCTCTATGTAAGTCACCCGCCCTCACCACCTGCAAATTCTTTCCTCTACCACCAGCCGTCAGCTGTTTTCTTACACTTGCTGCTTTCACTGCCTCATAATTGTTCATCCCAAACCTCTTTCGGCCTCTGTCTTTACCCTCATCTAGTCTTCAAAACCTTGAAATTGTACCCAAGAACCACAGAGACTTAGGTATCCTGTTGTCAACCTGAAGTGGCAAGAAGGGTCTCTTTGCCCTTACTTTCTTTTCCTATGCCCAGCTTCCTCTTCTAGGTTCCACGCTGAACATCCCCTAGCTAATTCCAAACTCGGTTCCCATCTACACCCCTCAATGGTAAGATGAAATAAGACGCCCCCCCCCCCCCCCCCCCCAGTATCCTGACATCTCCTAAAACAGACATCTAGCTTTACATTCAGGTTCCAGCAAAACACCATTTAAATCCGCTGTAGCACAGCTCAACTTCCTGCTCGAAACTGGGATCATGATCACTGAAAGCTCATCGAAAGCCAGGGTGAGTTTTAGGGGCGTGCGTTCATCTGATTCATCGGAAATACTTGTTTCAAAGGATGCTGGCTGAGGTGCATGCCCTTGCTCAAAATGAAGACAAACAGAGATCAAAGGTACATCAAACACGGCGCAATAAAAGCTGAAAAACGAATGAGAAGCAAAGACAGTTGGGATGGTTCCTACAAGTAAAGGTGTCTGCTGCCAGCTCCCATGACCTGAATGGGACCCCTGAAGCTCACATGCCGTAAGGAAAACCGACTCCCACAAGCTATCTCTGGCTGTCACACAAGCACCATGGCATGTGTGCACCTGCCTCGCCAGCACACACACAGTAAGTAAAAATGTCCAAAGAAAAAAATTAAAAGTAATGATTCTTACATATATATGAGCATACTGCTTTTGTTTTAGATATTATGGATAATTATTAAAGGAAAATCAAAACATAAAACCCCTAAAGAGCAATTTTCTGTTCTCATAAAGATTCCTATTTTCACACTCTGCTGTCTCTGATTATTGAGCTAGGGAAATCATTTCTGTACTCCTCCAGGTAACAGATTTGCCCCCCTCCCTTTTTTTGCAAGTGCTGTATTCCTGAGTCACACTTCTATACACATATTCGTATGCTTTGTGTCATGGGCATGGAAAAAAATAATGAACAGTATTGTTACTTGGCCAAGAAAGGCAAAATTTAGTCGCAGCCTGACCTAGAGTGTTGACAGTGTAATATCCACGAACAATGGTCTTTTCATCTCGTGCACATTTCGTCCAAGTGGGGCGACTCTGGTAGAGAAGACCTAAGTCAACAGACTCTCTGCCTTCGTCAGGCTGCCTACACACAACAATGAATCAGATACAAGGTAAGCATAAAGAAGGAAGAAAATGATGTGGTCACTTACTCTTACTGAGGACGGGTTCTGAGATACAAGGAAGACTCCGGATGAGCTGTGTTGGTATCTTCACTATCCCTAAGTCTACCCGCCCCTCCTGCCATGTAATAGATAAGGATTCTGCAAAGAAAGACACAGAGAAAAATGACCAAACTAACATATGGACTGCACTGTTCTTATTACCAAATGATGACTCTGACTTCTTATTTTCATGTATACATAGAGGGGGGGGGGCCAGAGTAAGGTGGAGACTTCTGGGAGGGATCCACATACTACTGTTGGTGTGTTCTGAGAGTTCTCAGATAAAAAAATCATTCTACTTTAGGCCAATGATTTCTTCAGTGGCTATTGTTAGTCTCTGCTCTTGAACGGCTTACCGATGAAAACAACTGGTTAATCTCACACACTTCACTAGCAAGCCTGAAGACAAGCAGCTGGGATGGGGAGATCAGAAAACATTTTGTAAGCATTCTTAGAGGGAAATATCTGTCCTCATAAAGAGTTCATAAACCATGTCTCCAGTTCAACTAACTTCTTTGTCTAGCTCTTCTGAGACATTAATAAAGGACATTCGTGCATTTTACTCTTGGAATATCTACCCAGCATTAACTGCACACATGCCTCCAAAACGTTCCTCTAAACCCCATCCCTACTTGAGCCCAAGCCAGTTATCCTATTTTTTAAGTCCCTAGCTGAATATTACTGTTTCTCCTTCAAAGTCTCCAACATAATTCATTTCACAGTCTCATCCTACCTGCCACGTCCACAGCAGTGACTGCCGTGTAGTGACAAAATGCCTCTGCGCTGGCTTTTGCCTGCTGAAGGATTGGGGTTAGAGCTTCTTGGAGCGAAGCCCCAGGTGGTCCCCCTGGCAATCAGCTGTCTAGATAGGACCTGATTCTTTAGGTAAATCTCTTATCTGGAGATTGCCTTGAGAGCGAGCCCTCCTGTCACCTTGCTTGATCTTTCTCTGTATTTCTAATCTTTCCTGTTTTTAGCTGACCGCTTACCAAGAAATCAAAGTACGTCCTTGGCTCGGCCCCACCGTTCATTAAAGCAGTCCCTGAGGAAATAAAGTATGCCCCAAGCCACATGAGCCTGGGAAACTTTATTAATTATGAAACAGAAACTGCTAAAGTTGATATGTTACGAGGGAATCGTCATAGTGAATCAGATTTAGAGAGAAAAGGAGAGTTAGAGAAAATTCCCCAGCACACTCCTTGATTCACTTCCTTATACAGGAGCCTATGATGAGCAAGGGAATAGATGGGTTAATGTTGATGGACAAAAACTGTTATATTATACTTTCAACTTTATGGATAGGCTTGCTAGACCCCAACCCCCATGATGTCTGCCGCATAAGACGGTACTAAAAAATATAGTTCAACAAGTGCAGAGAACTGATTAGGCATATTTGATCACTAGATGTAATAAAGGGTTAAGAGGAGGAAGGGCCATGATAGCGATAATGAGACAGAAACTTTCTGTTCATAAGATGTAACCACTTGCCTGAGGCTTACAGTCCCAAGGACAAGAATTCCCCTTCTAAGGACGCTTTGTGTCTAACACCTGTTCCTGATAATACACTTTTAAACATTGCTAAAATTAAACATTGCTAAAAGAAGTTTTCATACTGTGCCAACTAATGATACATGACTTTCTGACTTGTTCTTTGTTTGAATACTATATAATGAAAGCATGATTTTAGTAAAATCGCAGCAGATTCTCACTACACAGTGTGTCTGTCTGTCATTCCCTTGCGTCGTATCCTGACTATCCTATAGCCTTCATCCCTGTTCTCCCGTGGATAGCAGTCTCCCAGAGGGACGGTCCGTGGCACTACCTAATATGGCAACTGTCCACAGGTACCCTATCTGCTTTATTAAGTGGTTTCCTGAACAAAGCAAATCCCTCCTAATAGCTAGTACCTTTAAAGTTGGTGCTTAGCAATTCTCTGTTGAAAGAGTGAATATACAAGTCCTGCCCGTTTGTAATTCCAGGCAGCTCATTTTTCTTTCTTAAAATTGGAGAACCTGGGAACAAAAAGAAATGGCTTGCTCAAATGAATTATGATGATAAGCCATATATTCTGATTTTTAAAACTCCAGTGCTTTGGCAATAAGTTTGCCACAGAAAGTTGCATCATGGTCAGATCTTCCTATACCAAAAATGCAAAGAAATGAACATCCCAAATGTTCAGTACTCTTTTCACAGAGCAGGTTTCACTAGTTTAGTATACCTTGCAAACTCTTGGCTTACATATATTCTAATATTTTTAGTCTATTTTCTGTGTGTTTGTCTGCACACATAAAGCTTATTGTAGTCAGCTAAATCTCCCTACGTTGTCTGGATGATGGCATTATATACATAGGCACATAACTTTCTTGCCTTTTGTTGTTGTTGAGAGAGGGACTCAGGACAGTTTAGGTTGACCTTAAACTCACTATATAACTGAGGATGCTTGAATTCATGATCCTCCTGCCTCCCTCCCAAGTGCTGCTATAACGGACATGAGCCATAAAGTTTTTCAGATTTTGAAATTAATGCATAGTTTCCCACAATAAAGAAAGGAAGATCTAAAAAGATGAAAGGAGTCAAATGAATACTGTATTTATCAGCCGAAACCTGGAACTGGGTGTGATGCTTCCTGCCTTTAAACCAAGTACACAAGTACACTGGAGGCTGAAGCAGATATATTGTCCTGATTTCAGGGTCAGCCAGGGATACACAGCAAGTTCTAGACCATTCTGGGTGACAGAGTGAGACCTTGTCACAAACAAACAAAATCAAAAAGTAACCAAGTGGTAGAGTCATAGCTCTGTGTTATCTGTTAAACTGACAAAGAAAAAAGTTAACATATTAAATGTGTCATTTACTTTTCAATTAATTCATGCTCTCATCTTACAGACTGGGAAACCGCAGCCCATAAGAATATTAGAACCAATGGACTTCTTTCTTTAGCTCTTCCAGCTCTTTTTGTTAACAGCCTGGGAGATTTGGCATTTTCTGTGGTCGCAAAGGACCCACTTACAAAGGTTCCTCAAAAACTCCAAAGTGAGGCTGGGGAGATGGCTCAGGGAGCAAGAGCTCTTGCTGAGCAAGCAAGGAGATCTGACTCTCTAGCAGCAACCAAAAGCTAAATGTGGCTGCTCACTTGAGCCTGTAGCTCCAGCCCAAAGGGGGTGGGCGGAGACAAGATCCTGAGGCTTGTGAGTCTGCTGGCTACCAGCCCAGGAGCAGGTTCAGTGAGAAACCCTGTCTCTACGGAAGAAGGCAGAGGAGAAGATTAGCAGCACACTACACGTATTCCTCTGGCCTCTGAGCACGCAGGCGTGGGTGCATGTGCATGCGTGTGCGCACACACACAGTGAGGGGACTGGGAAGATGGCTCAGTCACTAAAAGTGCTTACTCTACAACCATGCAACCAAAATGATCCAAATTTAATCTCCAGCATCCACCTGACAAGCTGGGTGTGGTGGTTCACATCCGGAACTCCAAACAGGTAAGCTTCAGGGTCAGTGAGAGACTTTGTCTCAAAAAATTAGGCAAAGAGCAACTGATGAAAATACTTGCTGTCTGACCTCTCCATACATGTTCTCTCTCTCTCTCTCTCTCTCTCTCTCTCTCTCTCTCTCTCTCTCTCTCTCTCTCTCTCACACACACACACACACACACACACACCACACCACACCACACCCCACCACTCAGACAGCTGGATCTCTCAGCACTTGGAGGCTGTGGCAGGATAACGGCTGCAAGCTTAAGACCAACTTAGACTATACAGTGAGTTCAGAAGCCTGAGATACAGTTATAAGAAAAAAAAAATCAGAAATAAGACCAAAAGCTGGGGGAGGGTGTCAAAGTGATTATTACCTCAAAGTGAGAGTGCAAACCATGAATGCCAACAGGGAGGCAGGTCTGCTTAGGCCTGCTCTACCCCAGGCCACGACTCTACCAGACACCACCCCACCCCCATTCCCTAATTCCTCAAGATTTCTAAACTTATGGAAAGATTAAATTCTAGGCAATATAAATGAGGCTCATATGGGGCTGCTTCTTATCTGGTCATATTCTGAAGCTCTTTCAAGCAAAGTTTAGTGTTCATTTTAATATGGGTGAATGCCTTCGTCTCCACCCCATCTTCCTCCTCTGTCCGTTCTGTCTGGGACACTGTAGAAACCCAACAAATCTTGTTGACACCGACACTGGAGTTCTCGGTATTTTCTCACCATGGAGTTCAGGACTATGCATCTCAGCACTCACCAAGCCTTCGTGAGGCAAGCCTCTAGCTTTACTGTCCCTTATAGTGTCTTCTTGCCCAGAGCCCCATCATACAGATGCTATTCCATGGGCTTAAACCCATTCCCAGTGCTCTGCCGCCTAACCAAAGCTTCGATTCTAAAAATTGTGAGGCTTCAAGTGGATAAGAATCTAACTCAGCTATACCAGCATGATTTTAGAGAGAAAAGAGCATGGGAGTTAGCCAGACAGGAGAGCTTTAAAAGCCGGCAGGCAGGTAATACCCTACTCTCAACATCACCATCACGCTGGGAGGAGGGGAAGGAGTAAATGCCTCGGGCCTCCGAAATGATGGCCTGGGATATCGGGTCAAACCGTAAGTAACTCAGGAACTTGAGGAAGAGGGAGGGTGTGTGGGATGCTGCTGAGGGAGTCCACTTATTTCCACAGTACTCAAAGATGAAATTAAGACAGGCAGGGCAGAAGCAAGAAGCTGAGCTGGAAATAAGAAAGCTGCCCACCGTCTTCTTTCTAAAGACAGGGGATCAGAAAATGGGCTCTCTTACCAACCCCGTGGGCTTCCCTAGCTCTGTGGCTCTGGGAACAGCGAACCACAGAAGATTCCAGAATATACTTTAGTCAATGAAGATGCTGGGATGTTCTTGCTCAGCTGAAGATCTTGTTTCCTTCCCCAGCCTTCCATGCACCTCCTTCTTGTTGGGACTAGGGGGGGTGACATCAGAATTGCAACTGGTGACGTCACTGTTTCTATAGCAACAATGTGAGGCTGCTTAAGACTGAGTACTCAATAGGAAAAGAGGAGGGGTGGAAATATACTTTATGGCTCTGGACATTTAGTTAGAAGGACTGGCCTTGGGCTGGAGAGATGGCTCAGTGGTTAAGAGCACTAACTGCTCTTCCAGAGGACCCAGGTTCAATTCCCAGCACCCACATGATAGCTAACAACTGTCTGTAACTCCAGTTCCAGGGGAATCTGACACCTTCACACCCATGTACATAAAATAAAATAAAATTATATTAAAAAAAGGACTGGCCTTGCTTTCTCCTATTAATTCAATTCTTTGAGTGTCTGAGATGGGGGAGTACGGGAAGGGAAGTCATGCCAATGGATTTCATTTATTTTTTATATTTATTTATTATGTATACAATATTCTGTCTATGTATATGTCTGCAGGCTAGAAGAGGGCACCAGAACCCATTACAGATGGGTGTGAGCCACCATGTGGTTGCTGGGAATTGAACTCAGGACCTTTGGAAGAGCAGACAGTGCTCTTAACCACTGAGCCATCTCTCCAGCCCATGGATTTCACTTAAAACAGTTGAGTAACACCAACAAATTCAGATGGCAGCCAAGGACAGGATCCTATTTCACACTGGCTTAGCCTGAAATTGTTTGTGTCAAAGCTGGTGACATGGCGTAACTGTGGGACTGTGTCTCTGTAACTGGTGTTGCTGACTGGATCTCAGGTAACAATCTAACCAAGGAAAAAGTTCCAATGGCTGACAAAAACAACACACACACACACACACACACACACACACACACACACACACACCAAACAGCAATAAAAACCCCACAAAATCCCAAACCCAACACATGAAACCAAACAACCCTAACAGACTGGAAAGTTGGCTGGCTATCAGCATCCTTCAGTAAAGCAATGTGTCGACTATCACTTTTTTGTTGTTGTTGATCTTTTTCACCGTTAAAAGAGGGGCCTGGGGCTTGTTGGGTTCTGCAGAGTCTTTCCGGGCGCAGGCACCCTACACTGGGTACCTCCCTGGTGTCTGAGCGGGCACACCTGCTGTCAGCACTTTGCGGGTCACGGGAACAGGAGCGAATATTCTGGGTATTCAGATCAGTGCTCTCTCACTACCTGAGGACACCCTGATACCCCAAGTGTGAGTAGGAGGCAGCACTTGACTCAGAGATGTCAGATGACCCAATTACCACACAGGGATTAGAAGGCAGCTGCAAAATGGGGATGGGGCTGTCAATTTATCAGAACTTGGAAAGTATGTTAATATACCAATTGTGATATGTGATATTAACAAATATGGTAATTTATTAAATTGTGAGTTCTGAGCCAAGAAAGGATGAAGCCAAGAAATGCAGGGCAACTCAGGATTACTGAACTTCGCAGTTAAAGGGTTTCTTTTCTAATTGAATTTGGTCAAAGCTCTTACAAACAGTAGGGTGAGCTGGGTGTGGAGGTGTAGACGGGTACTCACAGCGCCTCAACTACTCGGGAGAACTGAAGTTCAAGGTCAGCCTCGGCTACAAGGATATTTAGGGTTAAGGTAACTCAGTGAGACACTGTCTCAAAACAAAGTAAGAAGGACTGAGACACTTGCCTTGCACATCTGGTGCCATCATTTCAGTCCTCTGTAAATAAAGTAAAAAGTAAACAACAGTAGGCAGCGTACAGATCTTAACAGCCCTACTCACAAGCAGTCCCTATGCGGGGCCAGTCAACTGCCTATCCCAAAGACACACACCTTCTTCCCAGACATGAACAATGGACCCCATCTCCACTGAGCACTGAAAAAATGGACCAAGTCTAGAATGATTCCCCCAAACTAGGCAGTTTACTGATAAGCTCGAGGTATGTTTCACAGGGTTATTGGGACCACATAAAAAACAGCTCTCCTCAAAAGGGGACAAGAGGCAGTTTATTATGGAGCCAGATATGAGTGACCAAATCCAGGTTACCCTAAGTTTCATGGTCCAACAATGAAAGTTCTTGTAGTAACAGAACAAAAAGAGGTACAAACAAACACTTTTCATATGCATGTGCTGAAGCATCAAGAGAGTGGGTTATAGTAAATTAGGAAACCCTGGATACAGAGGGACCTCAGATGCGCTCTGATGACATTTTTAGCTCTGAGTTAGTGGAATCTAAAGGTCCCGATACATCCCCAAAGACTGCAGGAGACAGAAGGACGTCAGGGCACACAAAGGCAGAAAATAAATGGCTGTTTAGAAGGTTAAGGATAGGCCATGATAAACTGGCTTTGGGTCTGTAACATTCCACCCTCTCCACTATCATTAAGGTTCTAATCCAATTAATCAATTTCTAGGATGTTCAGTGTCCTTGGAACTTCTTTCTGGGAACTTTACAACTGGCTGTCTTCTACTCGGGTATATCGAGGGTGACTGGAATGAAACTTTTAATTTTTTTTAAAATGTGAGACAAGGTCCCCTGGGTTGGCCTGGAACTCTCCCTGTCTTCCTGCCTCTGCCTCCCGAGAGCTCAGATTACAGGTGTGTACCACCATATCCTGAAAAAGACTTTAAAATGCAAGTGCTTTTTACTTTTTTCAGAACATCCTCAGGCTCCAGGTATCTCTTTCTAGAACAATACAGATTTTCAAAGAGGCCCAGTTTGAAAAGTGAACACCTGCTCTGGGTAAGGCCACCACTGTTTTATTCCCATAGAAAAACTATTGAATGTCAAGCATGACTTGCAATGTTATATCACATTTGAGGACGTTCGTGTTTCAAACCATTTATTAATCTCTAGTAAGTCGCCTGGGGTGGTGACTCATGCCTGAAGCAGTGCCGTGAACATCACAAGGTCGAAGCCAACCAGGACTTCACAAGGAAACCCTGTCTCAAAATTCCAAAAAAGAACTTCAGGGTCCGGTTAGTGTGCTTCTATAAACGAAATTCAAAACCAAATAAACACACAAACACCAGCCAACCAAAACTCATGATCACCATCCTGGAAAGATCTGAGTCCTTGGAGAGGTCACCTACGAGCAGGTCAGGATTGATGCAGACATCTAAGCAAGCATTCTATGACCTGGGATAGAGTGAGCACTAGAGCCCCAGAGAAAGTTCGTTCTTGAAGGCATCCACGAGCACTTACTTCGGCAGCAGGGAGAGAGGGGGCGCCTCTGCGTTCCTATTTCTCCTCTCCACTTGTGCACTGTGCGCAGACCCTCGCTTTGCTTGATAAGTTTTTTCTCCTTGCAACTTCGCGAGTGCGGGGCTACGTCTCCTCCTTATCCCAGCCCTATCCCCGCAGAGCTGCCAGACTCTCTGGTTGTTACCACCAAATGCTGGACTTTGAAGGCGGGCCATTTTGCATGCCCCGGAGTCAGTCCCTGGTTGAGTCTGAATTGCAGACTCCCCAGCAATAAAAGATGATCTTCACAGCCCATTCCAGAACCGGGATTCTGTTTTCCCCTTCCTTTCTTTTTTTCTCTCCTCTCGTCTGCTTTCACTCCCTTCTCAACGCAACCCGCCAGGTCCGGTCTCAGTCGGCGCCTGCGCAGAGAGGTCGGCAAATACCATTTGGCCCCGCGTTATTGCCGTAGTTGGCGGAAGCTCGAGTCGTGGGGCATTATGGGAGAAGATGGCGACTGCCGTCCGCTCCCGGGTTGTCCTAGCGCTGCCAATGTCACGTAAGTGTCACCGGGCACCGCCGCGTAGGGTCCGATTCCGCGAGGGGAACCTAACTTTTCTTCCTCATACCCTAGGTTCATGTGTGAAATTGTGCGCTCGAGAAGGGGATGGGGAGCTGGAGTAGCAGGGAGGGACGAGGAGAACCTGAACGCTTTAAAGCTCGAGTTAGTATGGAGATTGTTGGGAAGGTTGAGGTCAAGGAAAATTCAGGGAGGAAAAGGGGGTCGCACAGTGGGACATCGATTGCCTTCACGGTAGTAATCAATGGAAACCACGATCCGCGCCTCTCCGGATGGAGACTGTGTTAGGTTGTGGCGCCAGGGTCTGCCGCAGAGAGAAATGCTTGTGGAGAAAGAATTGGAAGCCGGGTGGAAAGAGGAGCGCAGAAGAGTGGAAGACAGCTTAGGACGTGGCGGCATTGCTTGCTTACTCTTCTGTTGTGGTTGGATTTGTTCTCAGTCCTCAGTTCGAAAGCATGCATTTTTTTTTTCTTCCAGAAGAAGCAAAGCAATCAGTCGTCGCTCCTCCCCATCTTCACTCCTCCGCCCCACAAAGCGTGTCCACTTCATTTATGTTTTTCCGTAGTGCATTTTACTCATTATCGATTATCATTGGCTGTCAGATCGCTTCATGTCAGAATCATTGGAAAGAGCTTTGGGGCCAGCAAGAGAAAGTCCAACAGCTGCCAATTAGGGAGTCAGACGTCCCTGTGCCACCGCCTCTTCCATCGCCACTTCTTTTGCCACTTCTACTGCTTCTATCTTCGTGTTACCAACTTAGCCCACATTTCTGCCAGTAGACAGGAAAAGCCACCCAGAAGAAGCCTTTTATTAAACCCTTTTTGCTACACTACTGGGGGAAACCACAGAAGAGTGTCTTTCAGGAGACTCGCCGAATGAGCCAGGCGAGATAGGCAGAGATGCTCCCAGCAATCCCAGCCTATCCTTTTTAGTACCAGTCACAGCAGGCCCTCTGTGCTTATGCTCCGGTCTAGGTGGAAATGGTTGCAGGGTCCTAGAATTAGGCTGTGATAGCATAGAAACCTGGTACAGCCTTTCCAAGTAGCCTGACTGAGGCCGGCTCTCGGGTCAAGGCAATTGGCTTCGGCTGTGTAGTTTTCTCAAGGCATCGTGGAATATGCAGGGCCACTGGTGCTGCTGTAAGGGCGGGTGGCTGTTTGATAATCTTTTTGATGAGGGTAATCAGAGCAGCAAGAAGTCCAACAGCTGTCAGCTGGGGAGTCAGACGACCCTGTGCCCCAGTCTTTTCTTAGGTTACCCTAGAATTCCCTACATAGAGTCCAAACTGTCTTTGAACCTACAATGATCCTCCTGCCTTAGCCTCTCAAGTACTGAGATTACAGGTGTGAACTACCATGCCTTTCTGTTTTATACCCCTACACCAAGCATTCCTTTGATGTTCATTTACCATAACTAAGAAAAGTTTTGAAGGGTGGAGAACTCCAGCCCAAGGCCTTAGGGTGAGGTGGCGCCCTTTTGTGGATACCTGCTTCTGTCTTAGTTGCACCAACTTACATACTTACCAACCCCCTACCAAAAATTGCTTTTCAGTGATTTTTACATCTAAACTGCACTCTTTTTGCTTTCTGTATATGTATTTATTTTGGATAGGAGTGTATATATGTGGACATACGTATGTATGGGTACTTGTGAATGTGTGTGCATATGAAGGCCAGAGGTCACTGTCTGGGGTCTTCCTTAATCATTCTCAACCTTGTCTGTCTGTCTACCTGAGACAGAATCCTTCAATGAACCTGAAGTCATTGATTTGGCTAAGTTGACTTGACTGAGCTCTAGGGGTTCGCCTGTTGAGACAGCCTATCACCTGTCACTGGGGTCACAAATGAGTGTCACCGTGCTTGACAAATTTTTCTTCTCTCTCTCTCTCTCTCTCTCTCTCTCTCCCTCTCTCTCTCTACACACACACACACACACACACACAGAGTGTCAGGGATTTGTGCCTTCATAGCAAACCCCTTACCTACTGAGCTAGCTGTCCAGCCTTTTTCTTTCTTTTTGCCTTTGAGATAGCAATACTCTTCTGCCTCCAGCCACATCATCAGCTTTGCTTCTCTCTTGCCGTCACCTTTCAGTCACGTCCAGACGGTCTTTCGTTGTTTCTCCATTCCAGTCTTACTCATTCTTACTTCTCCTTGCTTGTGTATGTTATGTGTTTCTCACGGGATTCCAGTCTTTGCTATTCTTCTTTAAAACCTTTCTCAAAACACTGTAATATGACTAAGGTTATATACCCAATACGACATGGTCTTTGCTTTCTAGTTTTGTATATTTCCTATAGCTTTTATGTTACAGTAGTTTACGTTTACTGTTGCTGGTACTTAAATCCCTAAGGTACCATTCCCAAAATAGTTACAAATTTCTAGAGAAAGAAACTGTTATTTATTGGTTGCTTTCATGATAACACGCGCCATGTTTGCTGACTCTGCTGTTTTCCTGAAGGTCCTGCCCTCGCTGCAGCAGCTACGGCTGTGTCTCGTGGCCCATCCCACCGCCAGCTTCATCATGCTGTCGTACCTCATGGGCAAGGTGGCCGCTCATCTGTCAGTGGGGTTGTGGCCACTGTGTTTGGAGCCACAGGATTCCTGGGTCGATATGTTGTCAACGGCCTTGGTGAGTCAGGCTCTTTTAGTTCAGTGCCCTCCATTGCCCTGAACTAAGATCGCCCCGCTTGAGACTGCGAGCCAGGTGTTTTTGTTTTAATGATATGACGAGTTACTTCTGTCTTAGAAGTATATAAATTTTATCTGCCTTGGCATTGAGAGAACATCCATGCTTCCTCTATAGGACATTATGGGAATACAATACACTGAGAAGTTATGGCCTCTTTGGTATGGCAGAATACACTTTTTACTAAGCATTAAGTTAATCTATCACATTAGAATTTGGTATTTTCTCAGTCACTAGTGTGTATCATACCCATGTCATGTTGATGTTGATTCTGTTTCCCTTCATCTTTTAGGACGAATGGGGTCACAAGTGATCATACCCTATCGGTGTGACGTATATGACACCATGCACCTTCGCCCCATGGGTGACCTGGGCCAGCTTATCTTTCTGGTAAGCCTTTGTACTGGGCATTGGAGTTATTAATGTAATTTCTGAGGTCATCGTTAGGGGTGAGAGGCAGTGTAGTAAAGCAGTAGTTTAACCCCAGACTAAGAGCATCCTCAATTCTGCTAGGATCCTGCAGCTCTTGTTTAGCATGCAAGCCCTAGTCTGACCATGGGCAAACTGTTTTCGTATAGCACTAGATAATGATTATTTGCAATTTGCAGATCATAGAATCTCTGTCAGAGCTGCTGAGCTCACTCTTATGGTCCCAAAGCAGTCACAGACAGTATGTAAGTGAATGGATATGGCTGTACTCTGGTATTACTTTATTAACTAGGTTGTATGGTTGACATGGTCTGTTGGCTCTTGTTTGCTTCTGTGTGGTAGACATTAGCCATGTGAGGCTGTTGAGCACATGAATTGTGGCTAGTCTAAATTGAGATGTACTATAAGATAAAATATGGATTTCAAAGACTGTATGAAAAAATTATATTCAGTATATGCTAATATTTTTTGTTAGTTATTATTACATATTGAGAAGATTTGAGATCTATTGGGAGAAATAAAATATTAACAAGAATTTCTCTTGATTTTGTGTTTACTCTTTTATTTGTGACTAGTAGAAGATTCTGAAAGTAGTAAATTTAGGATTTTATATCTGCCTCATGGTATGACTCTAAGGTGGTTTTACAAGCAGAATCACGGGGAAGAAGCTTAAGAGCTTGTTTCTGTTGGTGTGACCTTAGCTCTGAAGCAGCCCTTTCTCAGCGTCCCATCGCGTGTTCCTTTGGTCTTTGGGCTCTTCAGAACAGGGGTTGCCAGAGAGCTAAAGAGTGATTTAGCACTTCCTAAATCAAAGGAGTGATTTAGGTTGTGTGGGCTCTTTATCTGTCCAGTGAATGGTGAGCTGCTTATAGGTCACGTAGATTTTCAGCTCAGTTCATAAACTCGTTGGTGGTGACTATGAATTGTAATCTCAGGGGAAAAAAAGAACAGAATTTCTATATTAAAATAATTGTGCCAGAGGTGAGGACTCATTCCTCCAATCCCAGCACATAGTAATAGTCTGAGACAGGAGGATTATTGTGAGTTTGAGGTCAGCCTGGACTGCATAGTGAGCACTAAGCCATTCAGGAATAGAGTGAGACTCCGCCTTAACAAACAAAGAAGAGCCAGGCAGGGTGGCACACACTTGTAGTCTAAGCAGTGGAGGAGAGGAGGCATTCAAGGTTAGCCTGGGCTATGTAGACCCTATTGTAAAGCAATGTTAACAACAAAAACTTGAAGTTTTAGACACTGCATTTCTTTAATTCTTCTTTTCATGTCTTTGAAATAGATCTGCTATTATAAAGAGCATTAGGGGCTGGAGATGTAGCTCAGTTGGTAGAATGCTTGTCCTACCTACATGAAGCCCTAGGTTGGATTTCCAGCACTACAGTGAAAGTAAATAGGTAAATAAATAAGGAAAGAATTGAAGAGAAATAAGGAAATTGTCCTGAGTTCCTAGTTTGGTGCTGCTCCCTTTGGCTATTTCCAGTGGCAGGTGCCCGGTTTGCTTAAATCATACTTGCTTCTTTAATTTGTAGTAAGGAGGCCGCTTGTTTGTCACGGCTGCTCAGAACTGAAATAATCACACAGAAACCATATTAATTAAATCACTGCCTGGCCCATTAGCTCTAGCTTCTTATTGGCTGACTTTTAAATATTAATTTAATCCATTTCTATTCATCTGTGTACCACCATGCAGCTGTGGCTTACTGGCTAA